GTAAGACATTTCAATTTGAAGGATGTAGGCCTATGGTTTGTAGAGACTGAAATGCCTCAAAGGTATTGGGAAGTTACATGAAAATGTCAGGTAATAATTGTGTGTGTGTGTGTACAAAATAATATATGCATTACTTTCAAATGCGATTTTGCCACGATCCCTTTAAATATTTCCTGCGGGCCTTATCGTACAGGGAAACAGAAGACGCGTACAATGCCTTCAGAAAGTATTCACACATTTTGACGCGTTGAAGCCTGAATTTAAAATATATAAAATGTAGATGTTTCTGTTACTGGCCTACATACAACACCCCATAATGTCAAAGTGGAATTATGTTTTTGTAATCTTTTACAAATATATAAAAAATTAAAGCTGAAATGTCTTGAGTCAATAAGTATTCAACCCCTTTGTGATGGCAAGCCTGAATATGTTCAGTAGTAAAAATGTGCTTAACAAGTCACATAATAAGTTGCATTGACTCACTGTGTGCAATAATAGTGTTTAACGTGATTTTTTTAATGACTACCTCATCTCTCTACCCCACACATACAATTATCTGTAAGGTCCCTCAGTCGAGCAGTGAATTTCAAACACAGATTCTACCACAAAGATCAGTGAGGTTTTCCAATGCCTCGCAAAGAAGGGCACCCTTCTTGGGTAAAAAAAAATAAAACACAAAAAATACGGAATATCCCTTTGAGCATGGTGAAGTAAAAAAATAAGTTATTAATTATACTTTGAATGGTGTATCAATACACACTAACTCAGTTGCCGGAGAGCAAGGAAACCGCTCAGGGATTTCACCATGAGGCCAATTGTGACTTTAAAATAGTTAGAGTTTAATGGCTGTGACAGGAGAAAACTGAAGATGGATCAACAACATTGTAGTTACTCCACAATACTAACCTAATCGACAGAGTGAAAAGAAGGAAGCCTCTACAGAATAAGAATATTCCAAAACATGCATCCTGATTGCAACAAGACACTAAAGTAACACTGCAAAAAATGCAAATCCAATAGAACACATTACTGAGTACCACTCTCCATATTTTCAAGCATAGTTGAGGTTGCATCATGTTATGGGTATGTTTGTAATCATTAACTACTGGGGAGTTTATCAGGAAAAATAAAATAAAAATTGTAATGGAGCTAAGCGCAGGCTAAATCCTAGAGGAAAACCTGGCTCAGTCTGCTTTCCACCAGACACTGGGAGATGAATTCACCTTTCAGCAGGACAATAACCTAAAACACAAGGCCAAATCTACACTGGAGTTGGTTACCATGACGACAATGAATGTTCCAGAATGTTCCAGAGTGGCTGAGTTACAGTTTTGACTTAAAACCGCTTGAAAATCTATGGCAAGACCTTGAATACAGGCTGTAACAACAACAAAATGTGGAATAAGTCAAGGAATGTGAATACTTTATGAAAGCATGTTCCTGAGAGTCTTATCTTCATGTTTATGGGGTCAGCATAGCTAATAGAACTACAGCCAAATTCGTAGGAATAAAAATGGAAAGCGTTTTCTATGTATTCTATGAACTAAGTAGCGCATTCAGTGGACTGAGACAAATCCATTGCAATCTGTAGGAGTTTTTCCATTAGGGATATGCCTGCGGACCGTTCCAAGGACCTGGGTTTTGAGAAAGGCTGCTTTACAGGCTCTCCTTGAACTGTGGAAGTGTTGAAGGTCCTATGTAAAACACGCAAATAGTGGTGATCTGAGATTTTCAGCGCCTTGGACAGCGGTAAACGTGGAATCACAATATCTGCCTGTGCTGGGGTGATATGAGTGACATCACACAGTGTTTAGGCATTCCTCTTGGATCAAACTAACTTGGTGACGCTAAACTTTTTTTACCTTGTGCTACTGTAAGCAGGGGGTTGTCCCCGACAACAAAAAAATATTGGTAGACCGAAAGATGTCGGTTCTTTCTAAATGTGTATTTTTCCCTATATAGACACACCCCCTGTGTTTTATATGCTTGTCTAATGCTGTTTGATGAAATAAGACACAAAATGACTCAAGAGGAAGCTAGAGATTAAGATAACAGGAAGAGAAAAACCTTAACCTGACCATTCTCCTCCCGCTCCTGCTGGCTTTCACAGATTCTGCCATTAACAGGCTACACAAGGAGTCGGCAAATTTATCTTAACATTTCTACCGATCTGCGTGCCAGTTAGGGTTTTCATATGCAGATTTTTGTGGAAGAGTTTCCTTTAATTTATAATAACGTCTTCGTATATCGAAATTGTCATGTGGTTAATCAAAACTCTATCCAAATCTAAATAAAAATGATCTAAAAAAAAAACAAAACTTTACCTGCCATTGCCAACGATGTAAAAATAGCCTACAAAAAGCCAACAAATAAAAACATTGCAGCCCGCAGGCAGAAAATATCCTGATAAAAATAAATATCCTATAAATCACATTGGCTACGCATGGCCTGTCTGCAACGAAATTGAAACACCGTATCAACTATCAACTTGGGATCAGCCCAAGTTTGCTCCAGCAAACTTGTAACATTGTATAAAATATTCTGGGCCCTCAGAGTTTCCCACGCCAGTGAGCTCGGGACAGACACAGCTGTAGGCTATTTTGAACAAGGGATAAGAGCTCATCAGGTAGACCAATTTTATGACGTTTCCACTGGATCAGAGCATGACATTTTTCCCTTTCACTCTGAGTGGCTATCGAAAGGGAGAGAGCTGGAAAGATTGTTCTAATACATTGAGGAACTATTGCAATTCTCAATGGATGTATAATCAGACTTCGTTTGCTTGCTGTTTGAGATGAAGAAAACATTACTTTGAGAAGCTCCACAGGTCATTCGCGGTGGTGCGTTAAGCCAATCAGAAATACTATCAGATCCCCAAATGGACACATTTATATGCCTACATTTGCGCGCAGGCCAGGTAGCCTATAGGCCTGCTTCGATGCGTGTGCGTCCTTACTCAACATTGACAGTAGCGCTCCAAACAAAAGACAATAACTACATTGACAAAACTCGTAAATATAATAAAATAAACCCAAACTTGTTTCTCACAAGTGTAGCATAGGTTGTGCGCTCTGCAAACAATAGTGTTTCCGCTGCACTCATCATTACCGCCACACAAAAATAAATACATATGGAAGATGAACAGATATTTCTGCTGAGGCGCATTTTGAAGATGCTAGAACATTCCTGTACCTTTCCTCTGCAAACAAAGCGAATAATTAATAGAAAAATCCAACAACCCCATAGTAGAATAGTTTATCTATTTACCAAGTCGGCTAGTTGTTGTGTTCTATGCTAGATAAATATTCCGAAGGTTCACCTCCCAACAGGACAACAACCCTAAGCGCACACAGCCAAGACAACACAGGAGTGGCTTTGGGACAAGTCTCTGAATGTCCTTGAGTGGCCCAGTCAGAGCCCAGACTTGACCCCGATCTAACATCTCTGGAGAGACCTGAAAATAGCTGTGCAGCGACGCTCCCCATCCAACCTGACAGAGCTTGAGAGGATCTGCAGAGAAGAATGGGAGAAACTCCTCAAATACAGGTGTGCCAAGCCTGTAGCATCATACCCAAGAAGACTAGAGGCTGTAATCGCTGCCAAAGGTGCTTCATCAAAGTACTGAGTAAAGGATCTGAATACTTACGTAAATGTGATATTTCCTTTCTTTTTTTTTCTTTTTTTTTCTTTGCAAAAATGTATACAAATGTGTTTTTGCTTTGTCATTATGGGGTATTATGGGTAGATTAATGAGGGGGGAAAACGATGTAATCCCTTTTAGAATAAGGCTGTAACGTAACAAAATGTGGAAAAAGTAAAGGGGTCTGAATACTTTCCGAATGCACTGTATGTAATGGGGAATTGATAGACACTAACAATCAAGGTAAAGAATTCACACAATGAAGTTATGAAACAATGAACGTGCACAAATTGGCGGGAGAGACGTGCATTGTGCATTTTAGAGAGACGTGCATTGTGCATTTTAGAGAGACGTGCATTTTAGAGAGACGTGCATTGTGCATTTTAGAGAGACTTGCATTGTGCATTTTAGAGAGACGTGCATTGTGCATTTTAGAGAGACGTGCATTGTGCATTTTAGAGAGACGTGCATTGTGCATTTTAGAGAGACGTGCATTGTGCATTTTAGAGAGACGTGCATTGTGCATTTTAGAGAGACGTGCATTGTACATTTTAGAGAGACGTGCATTTTAGAGAGACTTGCATTGTGCATTTTAGAGAGACTTGCATTGTGCATTTTAGAGAGACACATTGTGCACGTCTCTAAATCAAACAGGTGACTCGTGTACCATAAGAATTTAAATATATATTTGCTACTGCTCGTAAAAAAAAAAAAAATAGCCTATCGACCAAATTATCGACCAGTCGACTAATTGGAGTCAGCCCTAGCAGGGAGCGATGCCAATTTCTATGGAAAGACCGTGCTTACCTCCTGGATCATGCCTATGAACTCGGAGAAGGCCCAGTTGAGCTGGTTGAGGACAGAGTTGAGGAAGGAGGCTGCCATGTCTTTATCCAGAGAGAGCAGCTCCGCCATGTGTCTCTGCAGCAGGAGGGATGGGCATGGCTCTGTAACGACCAATCAGAGAGGAGAATACTGTCACACAACCAATTAGAGGAGAGAATACTGCAGGTTACACACCAGGACCATGTTCAGTAGGACCAAAGACCCTTTGGTACGGAACACCATGGCAAAACATTTTTGAAACAAAAAAAAAAGAAATAAGTGATTGTCTTCTGTTTTAATCCGTTTTATTCACAACCCATAATCGCGTCCCAGCAGCAGATAACATAGCCCTAACCGTAACTAACAGCATGACGCTGTGCAGAGTTGGGGTTGATAAAACAGCATACAGAATAGATTGATCAAAAACATACATATCCCTACATGATACTAATGACATACTAACCATAACAGATTTTACATTATTACATTTTCTATTCAGATTGGATAAAGAGATGCACTGGAGCAGAATAGATTATGTGTCAGAGACCGTGGGTGAAGCAGGAAGTGTCAGAGACTGTGGGTGAAGCGTGACGTCAGGTCTTGAGAGTCCTCCACAGTGCAGGGACGGGGGGTGAGAGAACCTCACACCCCCCCCCCCCTCCCCCTCGTCCCTGCACTGTGGAGGACATCTCATCCCCCCTCGTCCCTGCACTGTAGAGGACATCTCATCCCCCCTCGTCCCTGCACTGTAGAGGACATCTCATCCCTGCACTGTGGAGGACATCTCATCCCCTCCGTCCCTGCACTGTAGAGGACATCTCATCCCTGCACTGTGGAGGACATCTCATCCCCTCCGTCCCTGCACTGTAGAGGACATCTCATCCCCCCTCATCCCTGCACTGTGGATGACATCTCATCCCCCCTCCGTCCCTGCACTGTGGATGACCTCTCATACCCCCCCGTCCTTCACACTGAGAACACAGAGAGAGAGCGACAGAGAGAGCGAGCGAGACAGAGAGAGAGAGAAAAATCCACATCTCACATGACAACAGCATTGTAATGGCGCTCTTTGGAGGACAAGAGATTCTCAATAAACCTTGTCAAGCGTACCAACCAATCATTTAGCAGGACAGTGTTGTCGCTCCTTAAGGAGAGATAACCTTTAGATTTAATTAACAGTGTGGGGCTGCACGCTGAGCCTACCAGCCTATAGGGATTAGACAAGGGATTTACTGGGCAGCAGGGGATAGCTATAGGACAGACAGAGGACAGCAGCTTGAAGGGGATGTACTGGATGGATGAAGAGATCCTCATCTTTGACTCCTACCGAGCTGATGGAGGGAGTATAATGTTCTATTATTCTGTCTGATGTCTCCTTTAATTTCCTTTCTCCTCTCCTCTCCTCCACTGTCTAGGGAGATTGGATAAGGGATTGATGGATGGACAGTATGTTATATTATCCAGTCCAATCTCTCCTTTCCTTTCCTCTCACATTACACACGTTGACTTCACACCTCCTCCAGTCCACCCATCACTGTTATCCACACAGACACATGACAACCAACTGGCGCCGACGAAGACGGAATCGCGACTAGCTCTTAGGAAACTTGTTGTTTGTTTATGTATTATTTTTTACATTATTAGCTCAGAAATGGTTTTGTATCATTACGTACAGCCAGGAAAAACTACTGGATATCAGAGCACCGATAACTCACCAGAACTACCAGCATTACGACCAGGAATACGACTATCCCGAAACAGATCCTTTGTTTGCTCTCCCCAGGGCAATTTAACTGATTCCAGTGGCTGACCCAAAACATCGCCGGCAGAGGAGAGGCACTCGGAGCGGCCTGCTGGTTCGACTTAGGAGGCACGCACACCACCCACCGCTTCCAAGTATATTACTCGCTACTGTTCAGTCTTTGGATGACAAAGTCGACGAGCTCAGGGCAAGGATTTATTTTCAGAGAGACTTCAGGGCCTGTAACATACTTTGTTTCACAGAAATATATGATATTCTGTCGAAATCGGTCCAGCCAGATGGGTTCTCAGTTCATCACACAGACAGAAATAAATCTCTCTCCGGGTAGCAGAAGGGCAGAGGTGTGTGTTTCATGATAAACGATTCATGGTGTAATTGTAGTAACATACAGGAACTCAAGTCCTTCTGTTCACCCGACCTAGAATACCTCACAATCAAATGCTGACCGTATTATCTCCCACAAGACTTTTCTTCGGTTATAGTCACGGCCGTGTATATCCCCCCTCAAGCCGATACCACGACGGCCCTCAAAGAACTTTACTGGACTTAATGCAAACTGGAAACCACATATCCTGAGGCTGCAAGTTTGAGGACTAGGCTGCAACAGTTCTTTCAACATATCAACTGTTGTACTCGGGCTGCTAAAATCTTCGACCATTGCTATTCGAACTTCCCGGGATGGTTATAAGGCCCTCCCCCGTCCTCCTTTTGGCAAATCTGACCACAACTCCATTTTGCTCCTCCCTTCCTATAGGCAGAAACTCAAGACATCAATCAGGAAGTTGAAGCTTGGTCGCAAATGGGTCTTCCAAATGGACAATGACCCCAAGCATACTTCCAAAGTTGTGGCAAAATGGCTTAAGGATAACAAAGTCAAGGTATTGGAGTGGCCATCACAAAGCCCTGACCTCAATCCTATAGAACATTTGTGGGCCGAACTGAAAAAGCGTGTGCGAGCAAGGAGGCCTACAAGCCTGACTCAGTTACACAAGCTCTGTCAGGAGGAATGGGCCAAAATTCACCCAACTTATTGTGGGAAGCTTGTGGAAGGCTACCCGAAACATTTTACCCAAGTTAAACAATTTAACGGCAATGCTACCAAATACTAATTGAGTGTATGTAAACTTCTGACCCACTGGGAATGTGATGAAATAAATAAAAGCTGAAATAAATCTCTACTATTATTATGACATTTCACATTCTTAAAAAAAAAGTGGTGATCCTAACTGACCTAAGACAGGGAATTTTTACTAGGATTAAATGTCAGGAATTGTGAAAAACTGAGTTTAAATGTATTTGGCTAAGGTGTATGTAAACTTCCGACTTCAACTGACAGTCCTTCGAATGACAATAGGCTACTCACGTGCCGCTTGTCATGTTGAATCCTGTACCGTAATATGAAATACTTTGTATCAACTCTCCATCTTAGTGTTTAACTATTCTCTTGCATCCTGAATTACTTGCTACCGGAGAAACTCATCATAACAGATTGGCGTCTAAAAGAACAGGATACGGTTGAGCCGACAGGTAAGCACACTTTCATTTTTGTACTATGTTAAATTCTGCTTATCTGTGGTAAAGCTGAGCTGTGACGAACATTTAAAATGTAATATTTATTTGAGGGGAATAGATGAGTGGTATTCGAGTATGTCAACACATGTAAGAAGAAATAGCAAATTAGACAATGACATGGTGCTATGATTCAAAACAGGGTGTGTTCAGAGTAATGAGTAAAAACAGAGGAGAAGGAGAGTGGGTTTAACAAGATTGGGCGTAGGGTTTTTTAAATGTGTAAGAAATCATAAAGTGTGATCAAGTGTCAGGTTTGAGTCCTTTGGTGTGTAAGAATCATCATAAAGAATGGGTTTGAGGCCTATGCACAGCGCAGTATCGAATCATACACTGCGTAATCAGCCAACCAAGGTCTGCAGTACTGAACATTTCGGTTACTGGCACAACGCTCTTACCCACTAAGCTACCTGCCGCCATCTGAGACCAGATGATAAAACGGTATTATCAGGATTTTCTGTAGTGGATAATGAAGGAAAGTGCATTGAAGCATATAAAATACCAGTGTCATCAGCTCAGGCTGCTGAATTAATTGCGTTAACAGGAGCATGTAATTATGATGCGAATAAAACTGTCACCATATACAGTCGTGGTCAAAAGTTTTGAGAATGACACAAGTATTGGTCTTCACAAAGTTTGCTGCTTCAGTGTTATGAGATATTTTTGTCAGATGTTACTATGGTATACTGAAGTATAATTACAAGCATTCCATAAGTGTCAAAGGCTTTTATTGACAATTACATTAAGTTTATGCAAAGAGTCAATATTTGCAGTGTTGACCCTTCTTTTTCAAGACCTCTGCAATCCGCCCTGGCATGCTGTCAATTAACTTCTGGGCCACATCCTGACTGATGGCAGCCCATTCTTGCATAATCAACGCTTGGAGTTTGTCCGAATTTGTGGGGTTTTGTTTGTCCACCAGCTTCTTGAGGATTGACCACAAGTTCTCAATGGGATTAAGGTCTGGGGAGTTTCCTGGCCATGGACCCAACATTTCGAAGTTTTGTTCCCCGAGCCACTTAGTTATCACTTTTGCCTTATGGCAAGGTGCTCCATCATGCTGGAAAATACATTGTTCATCACCAAACTGTTCTTGGATGGTTGGGAGAAGTTGCTCTCGGAGGATGTGTTGGTACCATTCTTTATTCATGGCTGTGTTCTTAGGCAAAATTGTGAGTGAGCCCACTCTCTTGGCTGAGAAGCAACCCCACACATGAATGGTCTCAGGATGCTTTACTGTTGGCATGACACAGGACTGATGGTAGCGCTCACCTTGTCTTCTCCAGACAAGCTTTTTTCCGGATGCCCCAAACAATCGGAAAGGGGATTCAGAGAAAATGACTTTACCCCAGTACTCAGCAGTCCAATCCCTGTACCTTTTGCAGAATATCAGTCTGTCCCTGATGTTTTTCCTGGAGAGAAGTTGCTTCCTCACTGCCCTTCTTGACACCAGGTCATCCTCCAAAAGTCTTCGGCTCACTGTGCGTGCAGATGCACTCACACCTGCCTGCTGCCATTCCTGAGCAAGCTCTGCACTGGTGGTGCCCTGATCCCGCAGCTGAATCAACTTTAGGAGACGGTCCTGGCGCTTGCTGGACTTTCTTGGGCGCCCTGAAGCCTTCTTCACAACAATTGAACCTCTCTCCTTGAAGTTCTTGATGATCCGATAAATGGTTGATTTAGGTGCAATCTTACTAGCAGCAATATCCTTGCCTGAGAAGCCCTTTCTGTGCAAAGCAATGATGACGGCACATGTTTCCTTGCAGGTAACCATGGTTAACAGAGGAAGAGCAATGCCTAAAGCGTGTACGGGATTGTCTCCTCATGAAGTGTTGATGGCTAGACCTTTTCCTCTAGGTGCGCTGATGAAGGAGAATCCAGTGGGGGATATGACACAGCTACAGGATTTGCAACAAAATTATGGTCAACATTTGTTTTCTTTTGTTTCCAAATATTCTCAACAGGTAATCGATTCCCTTCCCTCACCAGTGGAGAAACCAATACACAATTTTCAGCCAGGAGATTATGTTCTGGTACGAAGTTGAAAACCTGTGGTTATTCAAGGAGAGCCACGTTATGGATGTCCAACGCAGGTTCTTCTGGTAACACGTACAGCAGTTAAGGTCAGAGGTCAACCACAGTGGATACATGCATCCAGGCTTAAAGTTGCACCTACGAGGCAAACACCAACTTCGGAGTCGTTGGGGAAGGAATGAAATTGAGAGGACATATGTATAGGATTCGATCTTCATTATAGTGTTGTGTTATTCTTATATTCATTATCATCTCTTAGTTTTTTTGTATTTGTTTTTCTTTTATTATATGTAGGTGGTGAAGGTATGAAAGGAAGGAGTTTCTGGAGGAGTCATGGAGAAAACCCTGGGAAGTATGAGTGGAGATATTGTATCAGTAACATGTATCATAGGCCTTATAACTCTGACAGACTTTATCTCTGGGGGGGGGCTAGTGATTGACAATTCTAAGCTGAGGGAGAAGATGGTTATTGACAATAACGAGTTCAGCAAATCTGACAATGAGAATGGAAGGTTAAAATCATGACTATATGAACACTAATATAAACATGAGACTTAGCGACAAGGAACAGCACCCTAAGCGTACACAGAGACAGGTTAGTAAGACTGACGTCTACATAGAAATGGAGGCGATGGAACACGTTCCTCTGTCTGAGGATGACATGCATTGTTTATACGCTGCTCAGAAAAATAAAGGGAACACTAAAATAACACATCCTAGATCTGAATGAATGAAATAATCTTATTAAATACTTTTTTCTTTACATAGTTGAATGTGCTGACAACAAAATCACACAAAAATGATCAATGGAAATCAAATGTATCAACCCATGGAGGTCTGGATTTGGAGTCACCCTCAAAATTAAAGTGGAAAACCACACTACAGGCTGATCCAACTTTGATGTAATGTCCTTAAAACAAGTCAAAATGAGGCTCAGTAGTGTGTGTGGCCTCCACGTGCCTGTATGACCTCCCTACAACGCCTGGGCATGCTCCTGATGAGGTGGCGGATGGTCTCCTGAGGGATCTCCTCCCAGACCTGGACTAAAGCATCCGTCAACTCCTGGACAGTCTGTGGTGCAACGTGGCGTTGGTGGATGGAGCAAGACATGATGTCCCAGATGTGCTCAATTGGATTCAGGTCTGGGGAACGGGCGGGCCAGTCCATAGCATCAATGCCTTCCTCTTGCAGGAACTGCTGCCAAACGTCCTGTACGGTGTTGGGCTGTAAGCACAACCCCCACCTGTGGACGTCGGGCCCTCATACCACCCTCATGGAGTCTGTTTCTGACCGTTTGAGCAGACATGCACATTTGTGGCCTGCTGGAGGTCATTTTGCAGGGCTCTGGCAGTGCTCCTCCTTGCACAAAGGCGGAGGTAGCGGTCCTGCTGCTGGGTTGTTGCCCTCCTACGGCCTCCTCCACGTCTCCTGATGTACTGGCCTGTCTTCTGGTAGCGCCTCCATGCTCTGAACACTACGCTGACAGACACAGCAAACCTTCTTGCCACAGCTCGCATTGATGTGCCATCCTGGATGAGCTGCACTACCTGAGCCACTTGTGTGGGTTGTAGACTCCGTCTCATGCTACCCCTAGAGTGAAAGCACCGCCAGCATTCAAAAGTGACCAAAACTTAAGCCAGGAAGCATAGGAACTGAGAAGTGGTCTGTGGTCACCACCTGCAGAACCACTTCTTTATTGGGGGTGTCTTGCTAATTGCCTATAATTTCAACCTGTTGTCTATTCCATTTGCACAACGGCATGTGAAATGTATTGTCAATCAGTGTTGCTTCCTAAGTGGACAGTTTGATTTCACAGAAGTGTGATTGACTTGGAGTTACATTGTGTTGTTTAAGTGTTCCCTTTATTTTTTGGAGCAGTGGATTATCCTCTCAGAGCTACAGGGAGTAAGCCTTTTTTATGTTAATAATGTTACTTTTGTAGTTCTAAGTGAGGAATTAACAGGGATCAAGGTTGAATATGAATCGTTTGAAGGAGAGGAAGTCTTAATACTTATGTCACTAGCAGCAACAGGATTTACCTAAATAGCGCCGGAGAAGATGGCTGCCGTTTTACAGCCCTCTAACCAATTGTACTATTATGTGTGTTTCTCCGCGTTATTTGTAATTTATTTTGTACATAATGTTTCTGCCATCGTCTCTTATAACCAAAAAGAGCTTCTGGATATCAGGACAGCGATTACTCACCTCGTATTGGACGAATATTTTTTCTTCAACGAGGCGGCCGCGAAGGATATCATACAGACACCCGACAAGGCCCAAATCCCCGTCATTCGCGTGAGGAAGAGACAGAGTTATCGTGAACGTAGATCGGGGTCCCTTGTAAGGATCCGACGGCGAGCGAGTAAACTGCCTCTTCCATCAATCTTATTAGCCAACGTTCAATCATTTGAAAATAAATTGGATGACTTAAGTATACGGTTATCCTACCAACGGGACATTAAAAACTGTAATATCTTATGTTTCACCGAGTCGTGGCTGAACGACGACATGGATATCATACAGCTAGCGCGCTATACGCTACATCGGCAGGATAGAACGGCTGACTCCGGTAAGACAAGGGGTGGCGGTCTGTGTATATTTGTAAACAACAGCTGGTGCACTAAACCAAATACTAAGGAAGTCTCGAGGTTTTGCTCGCCTGAGGTAGAGTATCTTATGATAAGCTCTAGACCACACTATTTACCAAGAGAGTTTTCATCTATATTTTTCATAGCTGTCTATTTACCACCACAAACCAATGCTAGCATTAAGATTGCACTGAATGAGTGGTACAAGGCCATAAATCAACAGGAAACTTAAATCCGTTCTACCTAATTTCTACCAGCATGTTAAATGTGCAACCAGAGGAAAAAAAACTCTAGACCACCTTTACTCCACACACAGAGACGCATACAAAGCTCTCCCTCGCCCTCCATTTGGCAAATCTGACCATAACTCTATCCTCCTGATTCCTGCTTATAAGCATAAACTAAAGCAGGAAGCACCAGTGACTCGGTTAATAAAAAAGTGGTAAGATGACGCAGATGCTAAGCTACAGGACTGTTTTGCTAGCACAGACTGGAACATGTTCCGGGATTCTTCAGACAGCATTGAGGAGTACACCACATCAGTCACTGGCTTCATCAATAAGTGCATCGATGATGTCGTCCCCACAGTGACCGTACGTACATACCCCAACCAGAAGCCATGGATTACAGGAAACATCCGCACTGAGCTAAAGGGTAGAGCTGCCGCTTTCAAGGAACGGGACTCTAACCCGGACGCTTATAAGAAATCCCGCTATGGCCTCCGACGAACCATCAAACAGGCAAAGAGTCAATACAGGACTAAGATTGAATCGTACTACACTGGCTCTGACGCTCGTCGGATGTGGCAGGGCTTGAAAACTATTACAGACTACAAAGGGAAGCACAGCCGCGAGCTGCCCAGTGACACAAGCCTACCAGACGAACTAAACCACTTCTATGCTCGCTTCGAGGCAAGCAACACTGAAGCATGCATGAGAGCACCAGCTGTTCCGGATGACTATGTGATCACGCTCTCCGTAGCCGATGTGAGTAAGACTTTTAAGCAGGTCAACATTCACAAGGCCGCAGGGCCAGACGGATTACCAGGACGTGTATTCCGAGCATGTGCTGACCAACTGGCAAGTGTCTTCACTGACATTTTCAACATGTCCCTGACTGAGTCTGTAATACCAACATGTTTCAAGCAGACCACCATAGTCCCCGTGCCCAAGGACTCTAAGATAACCTGCCTAAATGACTACCAACCCGTAGCACTGACGTCTGTAGCCATGAAGTGCTTTGAAAGGCTGGTCATGGCTCACATCAACAGCATAATCCCAGAAACCCTAGACCCACTCCAATTTGCATACCGCCCCAACAGATCCACAGATGATGCAATCTCTATTGCACTCCACACTGCCCTTTCCCACCTGGACAAGAGGAACACCTACGTGAGAATGCTATTCATTGACTACAGCTCAGCATTCAACACCATAGTGCCCTCAAAGCTCATCACTAAGCTAAGGATCCTGGGACTAAACACCTCCCTCTGCAACTGGATCCTGGACTTCCTGACGGGCCGCCCCCAGGTGGTAAGGGTAGGTAACAACACATCTGCCACACTGATCCTCAACACGGGGGCCCCTCAGGGGTGTGTGCTCAGTCCCCTCCTGTACTCTCTGTTCACCCATGACTGCATGGCCAGGCACGACTCCAACACCATCATTAAGTTTGCCGACGACAAAACAGTGGTAGGCCTGATCACCGACAACGATGAGACAGCCTATAGGGAGGAGGTCAGAGACCTGGCCGTGTGGTGCCAGGACAACAACCTCTCCCTCAACGTGACCAAGACAAAGGAGATGATTGTGGACTACAGGAATAAAAAGAGGACTGATCACACCCCCATTCTCATCGACGGGGCTGTAGTGGAACAGGTTGAGAGGTTCAAGTTCCTTGGTGTCCACATCACCAACGAACTATTACATTTACATTTTAGTCATTTAGCAGACGCTCTTATCCAGAGCGACTTACAGTTAGTGAATATATATATATTATAATTTTTTATACTGGCCCCCCGTGGGAATCGAACCCACAACCCTGGCGTTGCAAACGCCATGCTCTATCAACTGAGCTACATCCCTGCCGGCCATTCCCTCCCCTACCCTGGACGACGCTGGGCCAATTGTGCGCCGCCCATGAGTCTCCCGGTCGCGGCCGGCTGCGACAGAGCCTGGATTCGAACCAGGATCTCTAGTGGCACAGTTAGCACTGCGATGCAGTGCCTTAGACCACTGCGCCACTCAGGAGACATCATGGTCCAAACACACCAAGACAGTCGTGAAGAGGGCACGACAAAGCCTATTCCCCCTCAGGAGACTGAAAAGATTTGGCATGGGTCCTCAGATCGTCAAAAAATTCTACAGCTGCACCATCGAGAGCATCCTGACTGGTTCATCACCGCCTGGTATGGCAACTGCTTGGCCTCCGACCGCAAGGCACTACAGAGGGTAGTGAGTACGGCCCAGCACATCACTGGGGCCAAGCTTCCTGCCATCCAGGACCTCTATACCAGGCGGTGTCAGAGGAAGGCCCTCAAAATTGTCAAAGACTCCAGCCACCCTAGTCATAGACTGTTCTCTCTGCTACCGCACGGCAAGCGGTACCGGAGTGCCAAGTCTAGGTCCAAAAGACTTCTCAACAGCTTCTACCCCCAAGCCATAAGACTCCTGAACAGCTAATCATGGCTACCCGGACTATTTGCACTGCCCCCCCACCCCATCCTTTTTACGCTGCTGCTACTCTGTTAATTATTTATGCATAGTCACTTTAACTCTACCCACATGTACATATTACCTCAACTACCTCAACTAGCCGGTGCCCCCGCACATTGACTCTGCAACGGTACCCCCCTGTATATATAGCCTCCCTACTGTCACTTTATTTTACTTCTGCTCTTTTTTTTCTCAACACTTTTTTTGTTGTTATATTTTTACTTTTTTTGTTAAAAATAAATGCACTGTTGGTTAAGGGCTGTAAGTAAGCATTTCACTGTAATGTCTGCACCTGTTGTATTCGGCGCATGTGACCAATACAATTTGATTTGAGGTGCTAACACACCAACCGTAGAATACTGTAATGGGTTATGGAAAGGGCTGATACCAAAATGTTTGGTTCAGAGAGATTTGCTAGCTTATGCTAGTATGCAACCAGTAGCAATCAGGACTAAGCAGAAGGTTGTACCTCTAACCAGCGTGACGTCGATAGCTAGTCATACAATTCTATACAAAATTGGGATTACACAGGAATGTCCAAATGAAATGATTTCTTTGGATAGGAATTTACCATGGCTGGCAACTGATTGCATGCTATGGTATTGTGGTGATCACTTATATACCTACCTTCCACTATATTGGCAAGGGGTTTGCGCCCCTTATTGTATACCAAGGGAAGTGGTATTTGGGGGTATAGATGCTCCAATTACACGGCCAACGACTTTACCTGAGGATAGAATGCTGAGTTGGTAGAGGAGGAGGAAGCTCTTATCTATGAGGATATTGATTTGATTGAAGTACATTCTATTCACCCCATAGCGTCTAATTTGTGGATCAAAACACTTAAGCAGGAAGTTAGAAGATTGACTCAAAATTAATGTCATGTGTGTTCAATAATTCCCAAATCAACTGAGGATTTATTTCCTTATTGGGTGGTACCACTTCAGGGGACAGAAGGATGTATTTCCTTATTGGGCGGTACCACTTCAGGGGTCAGAAGGACTGCCAACACTGGGATTTTCAGAGATTGATTTTGAGATCTGTACAAATGATTACCGTAATATTCGGACTATAAGCCGCGCCTTTTTTCCCATTTTTCAACCCTGCGGCTTATATAACTTATATCCTCGGCTAATCTATGGATTTTTACAGCTAACGGCCACTAGAAGACCTCCTAAATCTATGGATTTTACAGGTTACAGTCCACCAACTTTAACTCTATGGGCTCTATGACCGGTCCGCGCCCCCCACCTTTAAGCGGCGGGCTCCAGCAGGAAAAGCTGGAGGCCGGAAAAGAGTGAGACAGGTAGCGCGCAAAAGTAAAAGTGGAACCGAGAGTGGTACGAGAGACAGAACGAGAGACAGAACGAGAGCGAGACAGTTTGTCTCTTTCCCGACAATCCCCTCTGTGCACGAACCCTTACATATGGTAATTAAACATTAAAACACCTGCGGCTTATAGTCCAGTGCGGCTTATATATGTACACATCATTCAATATCATTCAATTTAGCTGCTGCGGCCTATACTCCGGTGCGCCTTATAGTGCGGGAAATACGGTACTAACATGCCAGTGATTACAGCTAGAGATGTATCATTCAATATTAATGCAAGGAGGGAGAGTAAAAATTCTTCATCTATATCATCTTATTCAAGTGTAGAGTCCATTGATAATGTTGATTGAGGAGTGGGGAATGTGATGTTGGAACTGTATAATGGTGGATATGAGGTTTACAGGATTGGAAATGTGGAGACAGGACTACCTCAGTCGATCAGCCCCAAGTGACTAGAGAAAAGCTTGGGGTTCCTCTGAATGAAGAAATGGAGAATTAAGTTATTTTTATTTGGATATATTAATCTCCCTATATTATAGTCTCCATGTAACTTAGAAATTGTCATGAATCAATGTATTTTCTTGGATGATGTCATGATGTTAAGCATTTATTTCTATGTATGTTTTTTGTGTTAGAATGTCTAAGAGGATGGGTATATTTGAAAATGATGTATACAAGGGTGTCATTTAAAAAATATGGGATGTCTATGGGGTATTTTTCCTTATATATATCAGTAAGGTTTTGACTACATAGATATTTAGTGTGAATGTATATTAGTTACTCATGTAATGATCTTTTACTCAGGCCAAATCAATAGAGGTTTGAGATGTTTGATCATGCATGATCCAGATGACTGAGAATGTATACCTTTGTTGATTAAATATATTGCGAATCTGGTTGGATTCAAATATAGAGAATGTAGAGGGATGAATTCAGTTATATGGAATAATTAGACTCCAAGCATATACAGTGGGGAAAAAAAGTATTTAGTCAGCCACCAATTGTGCAAGTTCTCCCACTTAAAAAGATGAGAGGCTTGTAATTTTCATCATAGGTACACGTCAACTATGACAGACAAATTGAGAATTTTTTTTCCAGAAAATCACATTGTAGGATTTATGAATTTATTTGCAAATTATGGTGGAAAATAAGTATTTGGTCACCTACAAACAAGCAAGATTTCTGGCTCTCACAGACCTGTAACAACTTCTTTAAGAGGCTCCTCTGTCCTCCACTCGTTACCTGTATTAATGGCACCTGTTTGAACTTGTTATCAGTATAAAAGACACCTGTCCACAACCTCAAACAGTCACACTCCAAACTCCACTATGGCCAAGACCAAAGAGCTGTCAAAGGACACCAGAAACAAAATTGTAGACCTGCACCAGGCTGGGAAGACTGAATCTGCAATAGGTAAGCAGCTTGGTTTGAAGAAATCAACTATGGGAGCAATTATTAGGAAATGGAAGACATACAAGACCACTGATAATCTCCCTCGATCTGGGGCTCCACGCAAGATCTCACCCCGTGGGGTCAAAATGATCACAAGAACGGTGAGCAAAAATCCCAGAACCACACGGGGGGACCTAGTGAATGACCTGCAGAGAGCTGGGACCAAAGTAACAAAGCCTACCATCAGTAACACACTACGCCGCCAGGGACTCAAATCCTGCAGTGCCAGACGAGTCACCCTGCTTAAGCCAGTACATGTCCAGGCCCGTCTGAAGTTTGCTAGAGCGCATTTGGATGATCCAGAAGAGGATTGGGAGAATGTCATATGGTCAGATGAAACCAAAATAGAACTTTTTGGTAAAAACTCAACTCGTCGTGTTTGGAGGACAAATAATGCTGAGTTGCATCCAAAGAACACCATACCTACTGTGAAGCATGGGGGTGGAAACATCATGCTTTGGGGCTGTTTTTCTGCAAAGGGACCAGGACGACTGATCTGTGTAAAGGAAAGAATGAATGGGGCCATGTATCGTGAGATTTTGAGTGAAAACCTCCTTCCATCAGCAAGGGCATTGAAGATGAAAAGTGGCTGGGTCTTTCAGCATGACAATGATCCCAAACACACCGCCCGGGCAACGAAGGAGTGGCTTCGTAAGAAGCATTTCAAGGTCCTGGAGTGGCATAGCCAGTCTCCAGATCTCAACCCCATAGAAAATCTTTGGAGGGAGTTGAAAGTCCATGTTGCCCAGCGACAGCCCCAAAACATCACTGCTCTAGAGGAGATCTGGATGGAGGAATGGGCCAAAATACCAGCAACAGTGTGTGAAAACCTTGTGAAGACTTACAGAAAACGTTTGACCTGTGTCATTGCCAACAAAGGGTATATAACAAAGTATTGAGAAACTTTTGTTATTGACCAAATACTTATTTTCCACCATAATTTGCAAATAAATTCATTAAAAATAAATTCATTAAAAAAAAAATCTCATTTTGTCTGTCATAGGTGACGTGTACCTATGATGAAAATTACAGGCCTCTCATCTTTTTAAGTGGGAGAACATGCACAATTGGTGGCTGACTGAATACTTTTTTTCCCCACTGTATTACTTGTTAGATATTACTGCACTGTCGGAACTAGAAGCACAAGCATTTCGCTACACCCGCAATAACATCTGCTAAACACGTGTATGTGACCAATAACATTTGATTTGATGTTTCCCCCCACATCCATAGATAAGTTTCCCCCACAGCCATACAGCCATAGATACACGTTTCCCTCCACAGCCATAGATACATGATGTTTCCCCCCAAAGCCATACATACATGTTTCCCCCCACAGCCATAGATACATGATGTTTCCCTCCACAGCCACAGATACAGTGCCTTGCAAAAGTATTCATCCCTCTTGGCGTTTTTCCTATTTTGTTGCATTACAAACTGTAATTTAAATGGATTTTTATTTGGATTTCATGTAATGGACATACACAAAATAGTCCAAATTGGTGAAGTGAAAAAAATTACTTGTTTCAAAAGATTCTAAAAAATGAAGAATAACGGAAAAGTGGTGTGTGCATATGTATTCACCCCATTTGCTATGAAGCCCCTAAATAAGATCTGGTGCAACCAATTACCTTCATAAGTCACATAATTAGTTAAATAAAGTCCACCTGTGTGCAATCGAAGTGTCACATGATCTGTCACATGATCTCAGTATATATACACCTGTTCTGAAAGACCCCAGAGTCTGCAACACCACTAAGCAAGGGGCATCACCAAGCAAGCAGCACCATGAAGACCAAGGAGCTCTCCAAACAGGTCAGGGACAAAGTTGTAAAAATATAAAAAAAATATCAGAAACTTTGAACATCCCACAGAGCACCATTAAATCCATTATTAAAAAATTGAATGAATATGGCACCACAACAAACCTGCCAAGACAGGGCCGCCCACCAAAACTCACAGACCAGGCAAGGAGGGCATTAATCAGAGAGGCAACAAAGAGACCAAAGATAACCTTGCAGGAGTTGCAAAGCTCCACAGCGGAGATTGGAGTATCTGTCCATAGGACCACTTTAAGCCATACATTGCACAGAGCTGGGCTTTACAGAAGAGTGGCCAGAAAAAAGCCATTGCTTCAAGAAAAAAATAAGCAAACACGTTTGGTGTTCGCCAAAAGGCATGTGGGAGACTCCCCAAACATATGGAAGAAGGTACTCTGGTCAGATGAGACTAAAATTGAGCTTTTTGGCCATCAAGGAAAACGCTATGTCTGGCGCAAACCCAACACCTCTCATCACCCCAAGAACACAATCCCCAAAGCGAAGCATGGTGGTGGCAGCATCATGCTGTGGGGATCATTTTCCATCGGCAGGGACTGGGAAACTGATCAGAATTGAAGGAATGATGGATGGCGCTAAATAAAGAGAAATTCTTGTTTCAGTCTTCCAGAGATTTGAGACTGGGACGGAGGTTCACCTTCTAGCAGGACAATGATCCTAAGCATACTGCTAAAGCAACACTTGAGTGGTTTAAGGGGAAACTTTTAAAATGTCTTAAATGTCAAAGCCCAGACCTCAATCCAATGGAGAATCTGTGGTATGACTTAAAGATTGCTGTACACCAGCGGAACCCATCCAACTTGAAGGAGCTGAAGCAGTTTTGCCTTGAAGAATTGGCAAATATCCCAGTGGCTAGATGTGCCAAGCTTATAGAGACATAGCTCATGAGACTTTCAGCTGTAATCGCTGCAAAAGGTGTCTCTACAAAGTATTGACTTTGGGGGGGGGGGGGGGGGGGGGGGGGTGAATAGTTGTGCACGCTCAAGTTCTGTTTTCTTTCTTGTTTGTTTCACAATAAAAAAATATTTTGCATCTTCAAAGTGGTAGGAATGTTGTGTAAATCAAATGATACAAACCCCCCAAAAATCTATTTTAATTCCAGGTTGTAAGGCAACAAAATAGTTTCCCTCCACAGCCATAGATACATGATGTTTCCCTCCACAGCCACAGGCTTTCATCAGAATGGTAGACTATACGTACCAATGGGGACAGGGAGGATGAGGTCATATCCTGTATAAAAGTGGCAGTAATGGCTGTCAACATGATTGTGAGCTAGAGAAAAAAAACGCTCTGTCATTATTCAATGTTGTGAGGGCTCTCTATTCTATACATACAGGTATTATACCACAGCATGTAATGTAAAGCGACGTTTAAACCAGCCCTTTCAAATAGTAGGAAATCTTTACTGTGATGTTAATCTGTCACTTCTGACTGGAGTCTGTCTGACTGAACAACTGATAGCTAGGACCTTCAGCTCTGCCCCAACACTACTAATATAATGAGATAGACTGCGCACCAACACACACTGTCCTTCACCCAAAAACTAAAATGTTTCGCACGTCAGCAATCAAGTTAAGATATATAACTTTCTAAATACAGAAATACAGCCGGTATGATGCCGGTATGATGCCAAAAGGAGCATCATATGATGATAAATGCATCACACCGACTGTATTTCTGTACTTGAAAACTTGATAGCTGACATGCAAAACATTTCAGGACTATATCAACAATAGACTAATGAAACAAAAGATAAGCCCATGTGAACCAATCATTAAGTAGAGTCCCAAATGACACCCTATTCCCTACATATAGGGAATACTGTACCCTTTGGGACGCAGTTTAAGTCTCTCTCACTCTGGGGCCTTGTCATTTATGGCTTGGAAAGAGTCAGTAATTTCCAAATAAATAGGTTAAGCAATATGCAAATCGAGTGGCCGGGGAGCTAGTCGCTTCAAAACAAGACGCAGACAGTATTTTCTCTTCGTTCTCTCCCTCTCAGGATATTCTGGTGTTTTTGTTTTGTACTTTAAATTAATTTCCTATATTTTGTATTTTTCCCTGTTCTACTCATTAGGCAGAGAAAAGACAACATGAAGTGTTGAACTCTACTACTCATTATGTTAGGCCAACTAACGGACATTATTCCGGTGGTGAGGTGTTTTATTTGAACATTGTCTGTATTGTGGCTGTTTCCCCTCTCATACTTAGACTCTTAAGAAAACATGAGTCTTCATTGTGGAAACCAACAGGCTACCAGAGACTCATTAGGCTAACTAATCCAGGCTCTGTCGTAGCCGGCCGCGACCGGGAGACCCATGGGGCGGCGCACAATTGGCACAGCGTCGTCCAGGTGTAGGGGAGGGAATGGCCGGCAGGGATGTAGCTCAGTTGGTAGAGCATGGCGTTTGCAACGCCAGGGTTGTGGGTTCGATTCCCACGGGGGGGGGGCAGTATGAAAAGTAAAAAAAATAAACATGTATGCACTCACTAACTGTAAGTCGCTCTGGATAAGAGCGTCTGCTAAATGAAAAAAGGCATAGACAATAACAGACATGTCTGGGACTGAAGGAACACGCTGAAGGAAAAAGTGCACAGGAAAACCTGACATTTAGGGACATGGGACCAACTACAATCTCTAGATACTCTAAATAAATACAAGGGTAGGATTGGATGGAATACAATTATAACTGCTAAAGGGTTGGGGCTATCACTAATAAGCATAAAAAATAAATCAATAACTTAAAGTGATGGTAAAACAAAAAAAGGAACAAACTTACTTTGGAAACTAGCAATGGATAAATCTCCTGTTAGCCATGCAAATGAGTCAGATGAAACAGAAACAATATTAGCATGAAGAACAGAAGATGGACAGATTGGACAGAAAGAAAGAGAAAAACTAGCTGAAAAGGATGTAAAAAAAAACGACACGGCACAATCCTTCAACTTGTCACATGAAAGTTGAAGGGCATCAATGAGTTTGTAAATTGAACATTTGAAAGAGCTAGGCATAGGCTACAGCGGCAGACAATTCTTAGGAGTTTTTACTTCATTCCAATCCTTCAACGTCAGAATGTCACATCAAAATATAGGGAAGCTAGTGTCTAGATTTGAATTTAAGTGCCTATGACACTTGAAATGTTTTCACTTGGCAAAAGCTACACTACCGGTAAAAGCTTTAGAACACCTACTCATTCAAGGGTTTTTCTTTATTTTTTTTTACTGTTTTCAGCATTGTAGAATAATAGTGAAGACATCTAAACTATAAAATAACACTTATCGAATCATGTAGTAACCAAAAAAAAGTGTCAAACAAATCAAAATATATTTTATATTTCTGGTTCTTCAAATAGCCACCCTTTGCCTTGATGACAGCTTTGCACACTCTTGGCATTCTGTCAACCACCTTCATGAGGTAGTTACCTGGAATGCATTTCAATTAACAGGTGTGCCTTCTTAAAAGTGAAATTGTGGAATTTCTTTCCTTCTTAATACGTTTCAGCCAATCAGTTGTGTTGTGACAAGGTAGGGGTGTTATACAGAAGATAGCCTATTTGGTAAAAGACCTAGTCCATATTATGTCAAGAACAGCTCAAATAAGCAAAGAGAATCGACAGTCCATCATTACTTTAAGACATGAAGGTCAGTCAATATGGAACATTTCTGTGCAGTCGCAAAAACCATCAAGCACTATGATGCAATGGCTAGCTAGTATGCTAACTATTCTAGCTAACTAACTGGCTGATTAAGTTGACGACGTACTCACTCAAACTGTCAAAACTAACCCAAAACTTTACACAACGTTAGACACGGACACAAATGATCTGCTTGGCGTGTTAACACACTGGTAGTTTGTTGTAACCGAGTATTGGTGCTAAACCGTGTTATTGGAGGCTGGCATGCTAGTTGGCTTTGGTGTCATAGGATTCGGTGCCCTGGGCGGTTTTCACGGAAGAATACTGTACCAAGTTAGCTAGCTGAATAAACTAAGTTAGTCTATTCCTAGAAACATTGAACCGCTGTAGTTTACAACAATTATAATTTCTAAAGTGGAAGTTGAGAGAGTTATATTTGAGTGTTTCAGTGAAACGTAAGTGAGGGAGGCCCCGCTCTCTCGCTTTCGCAGATGTTTAGTTCATTTCATTCCGATCTCCTTTGCATTATTGTAGCCTTTTTCTGTAGCCTGTCAACTATGTGTCTGTCTATCCCTGTTCTCTCCTCTCTGCACAGGCCATACAAACGCTTCACACCACGTGGCTGCTGCCACTCTAATCTGGTGGTCCCTGCGCGCACGACCCACGTGGAGTTCCAGGTCTCTGGCAGCCTCTGGAACTGCCATTCTGCGGCCAACAAGGCAGAGTTCATATCAGCCTATGCTACCCTCCAGTCTCTCGACTTCTTGGCGCTGACGGAAACATGGATTACCACAGAAAACACTGCTACTCCTACTGCTCTTTCCTCGTCTAACCATGTGTTACCGCATACCCCAAGAGCATCTGGTCAGCAGGGCGGTGGCACAGGAATCCTCATCTCTCCCAAGTGGACATTCTCTCTTTTTCCCCTGACCCATCTGTCTATCTCCTCATTTGAATTCCATGCTGTCACAGTCACTAGCCCATTCAAGCTTAACATCCTTGTCATTTATCGCCCTCCAGGTTCCCTTGGAGAGTTCATCAATGAGCTTGACGCCATGATAAGTTCCTTTCCTGAGGATGGCTCACCCCTCACAGTTCTGGGTGACTTTAACCTCCCTACGTCTACATTTGACTCATTTCTCTCTGCCTCCTTCTTTCCACTCCTTTCCTCTTTTGACCTCACCCTCTCACCGTCCCCGTCCCCCTACTCACAAGGCAGGCAATACGCTTGACCTCATCTTTACTAGATGCTGTTCTTCTACTAATCTCACTGCAACTCCCCTCCAAGTCTCCAACCACTACTTTGTATCATTTTCTCTCTCGCTCTCCTCCAACACTACTCCCTCTTCCCCTTCTCAGATGGTAATGTGCCGTCGCAACCTTCGCTCTCTCTCTCCCGCTACTCTCTCCTCTTCCATCCTATCATCTCTTCCCTCTGCTAAATCCTTCTCCCTCCGATCTCCTGATTCTGCCTCCTCAACCCTCCTCTCCTCCCTTTCTGCATCCTTTGACTCTCTGTGTCCCCTATCCTCCCGGCCGGCTCGGTCCTCCCCTCCTGCTCCGTGGCTTGACGACTCATTGCGAGCTCACAGAAGAGGGCTCTGGGCAGCCGAGCGGAAATGGAGGAAAACTAGACACCCTGCGGACCTGTCATATTTTCACTCCCTCCTCTCTACATTCCCTTCCTCTGTTTCCGCTGCTAAAGCCACTTTCTACCACTCTAAATTTCCAGCCTCTGCCTCTAACCCTAGGAAGCTCTTTGCCACCTTCTCCTCCCTGCTGAATCCTCCTCCTCCTCCCCCTCTGTGGATGACTTCGTCAACCATTTTGAAAAGAAGGTTGACGACATCCGATCCTCATTTATTAAGTCAAATGACACCGCTGGTCCTGCTCACACTGCCATACCCTATGCTTTGACTTCTTTCTCCCCTCTCTCTCCAGATGAAATCTTACGACTTGTAACGGCCGGCCACCCAACAACCTGCCCGCTTGACCCTATCCCCTCCTCTCTTCTACAGACCATTTCCAGAGACCTTCTCCCTTACCTCACCTCGCTCATCAACTCATCCTTGACCGCTGGCCATGTCCCTTCCATCTTCAAGAGAACGCGAGTTGCACCCCTCCTTAAAAAAACCTACAATCGATCCCTCCGATGTCAACAACTACAGACCAGTATCCCATCTTTTTTTTCTCTCAAAAACTCTTGAGCGTGCCGTCTCTAGCCAACTCTCCTGCTATCTCTCTCAGAATTACCTTCTTGATCCAAACCAGTCAGGTTTCAAGACTGGTCATTCAACTGAGACTGCTCTTCTCTGTGTCACGGAGGCTTTCCGCACTGCTAAAGCTAACTCTCTCTCCTCTGCTCTTATACTTCTAGACCTATCCGCTGCCTTTGATACTGTGAACCATCAGATCCTCCTCTCCACCCTCTCCGAGTTGGGCATCTCCGGCGCTGCTCACTCTTGGATTGTGTCCTACCCGACAGGTCGCTCCTACCAGGGGGCGTGGCGAGAATCTGTCTCCGCACCACGTGCTCTCACCACTGGTGTCCCCCAGGGCTCAGTTCTAGGCCCTCTCCTATTCTCTCTATACACCATGTCACTTGGCTCTGTCATACCCTCACATGGTCTCTCCTATCATTGATACGCAGACGACATACAATTAATTTTCTCCTTTCCCCCTTCTGATAACCAGATGGCGAATCGCATCTCTGCATGTCTGGCAGACATATCAGTGTGGATGTCGGATCACCACCTCAAGCTGAACCTCGGCAAGACGGAGCTGCTCTTCCTCCCGGGGAAGGAATGCCCGCTCCATGATCTCGCCATCACGGTTGACAACTCCATTGTGTCCTCCTCCCAGAGTGCAAAGAACCTTGGCGTGACCCTGGACAAAACCCTGTCGTTCTCCGCTAACATCAAAGCGGTGACCCGATCCTGCAGGTTCATGCTCTACAACATTCGCAGAGTACGACCCTACCTTACACAGAAAGCGGCACAGGTCATAATCCAGGAACTTGTCATCTCCCGTCAGGATTACAGCAACTCGCTGTTGGCAGGGCTCCCTGCCTGTGCCATTAAACCCCTACAACTTATCCAGAACGACGCAGCCCGTCTGGTGTTCGACCTTCCCAAGTTCTCTCATGTCACCCCACCCCTCCGCACACTCCACTGGCTTCCAGTTGAGGCTCGCATCTACTACAAGACCATGGTGCTTGCCTACGGAGCTGTGAGGGGAACGGCACCTCCTTACCTTCAGGCTCTGATCAGACCCTACACCCAAACAAGGGCAACACGTTCATCCACCTCTGCCCTGCTAGCTCCCCTACCTCTACGGAAGCACAGTTCCCGCTCAGCCCAGTCAAAGCTATTTGCTGCTCTGGCACCCCAATGGTGGAACAAGCTCCCCCACGACGCCAGGACAGCGGAGTCACTCACCACCTTCCGGAGACACTTGAAACCCTACCTCTTTAAGGAATACCTGGAATAGTATAAAATAACCCCCCCCCCCCCCCACACCAAAAAAAAAAAAAAAAGGTGTTTGTCCCACTGGTTACAGTGAGGGAAAAATGTATTTTGATCCCCTACTGATTTGTAGGTTTGCCCACTGACAAAGACATGATCAGTCTATAATTTTAATGGTAGGTTTATTTGAACAGTGAGAGACAGAATAACAACAACAAAATCCAGAAAAACGCATGTCAAAAATGTTATCAATTGATTTGCATTTTAATGACGGAAATAAGTATTTGACCCCTCTGCAAAACATTACTTAGTACTTGGTGGCAAAACCCTTGTTGGCAATCACAGAGGTCAGACGTTTCTTGTAGTTGGCCACCAGGTTTGCACACATCTCAGGAGGGATTTTGTCCCACTCCTCTTTGCAGATCATCTCCAAGTCATTAAGGTTTCGAGGCTGACGTTTGGCAACTCGAACCTTCAGCTCCCTCCACAGATTTTCTATGGGATTAAGGTCTGGAGACTGGCTAGGCCACTCCAGGACCTTCATGTGCTTCTTCTTGAGCCACTCCTTTGCTGCTTTAGCCGAGTGTTTTGGGTCATTGGCATGCTGGAATACCCATCCACGACCCATTTTCAATGCCCTGGCTGAGGGAAGGAGGTTCTCACCCAAGATTTGACGGTACATGGCCCCGTCCATCGTCCCTTTGATGCGGTGAAGTTGCCCTGTCCCCTTAGCAGAAAAACACCCCCAAAGCATAATGTTTCCACCTCCATGTTTGACGGTGGGGATGGTGTTCTTGGGGTCATAGGCAGCATTCCTCCTCCTCCAAACACGGCGAGTTGAGTTGATGCCAAAGAGCTCCATTTTGGTCTCATCTGACCACAACACTTTCACCCAGTTCTCCTCTGAATCATTCAGATGTTCATTGGCAAACTTCAGACGGGCATGTATATGTGCTTTCTTGAGCAGGGGGACCTTGCGGGCGCTGCAGGATTTCAGTCCTTCACGGCATAGTGTGTTACCAATTGTTTTCTTGGTGACTATGGTCCCAGCTGCCTTGAGATCATTGACAAGATCCTCCCGTGTAGTTCTGGGCTGATTCCTCACAGTTCTCATAATCATTGCAACTCCACGAGGTGAGATCTTGCATGGAGCCCCAGGCAGAGGGAGATTGACAGTTCTTTTGTGTTTCTTCCATTTGCCAATAGTCGCACCAACTGTTGTCACCTTCTCACCAAGCTGCTTGGCGATGGTCTTGTAGCCCATTCCAGCCTTGTGTAGGTCTACAATCTTGTCCCTGACATCCTTGGAGAGATATTTGGTCTTGGCCATGGTGGAGAGTTTGGAATCTGATTGATTGATTGTTTCTGTGGACAGGTTTTTTATACAGGTAACAAGCTGATATTAGGAGCACTCCCTTTAAGAGTGCGCTCCTAATTTCAGCTCGTTACCTGTATAAAAGATACCTGGGAGCCAGAAATCTTTCTGATTGAGAGGGGGTCAAATACTTATTTCCCTCATTAAAATGCAACTCGATTTATAACATTTTTGACATGCGCTTTTCTGCATTTTTGTTGTTGTTATTCTGTCTCTCACTGTTCAAATAAACCTACCATTAAAATTATAGACTGATCATTTCTTTGTCAGTGGGCAAACGTACAAAATCAGCAGGGGATCAAATACTTTTTCCCCCTCACTGTACCATAAGTTGAACGCACCAATTTGTAAATTATGAAAATGTAAATGTAATGAAACTGGCTCTCATGAGGAAAGCCACAGGAAAGTAAGACCCAAAGTTACCTCTGCTGCAGAGGATAAGTTCATTAGAGTTACCAGCCTCAGAAATTACAGCCCAAATAAATGCTTCACAGAGTTCAAGTAACAGACACATCTCAACATCAACTGTTCAGAGGACACTGTGTGAATCAGGCCTTCATGGTCAAATTGCATCAAAGAAACCACTACTAAAGGACACCAATAATAAGAAGAGACTTGCTTGGGCCAAGAAACACAAGCAATGGACATTAGAGCAGTGGAAATGTGTCCTTTGGTATGGAATCCAAATTGGAAATTTTTGGTTCCAACCGCCGTGTCTTTGTGAGACGCTGTGTGGGTGAACGGATGATCTCCGCATGTGTATTTCCCACCATAATGCATGGATGAGAAGGTGTTATGGTGTGGGGGTGCTTTGCTGGTGACACTGTCTGTGATTGATTTAGAATTCAAGGCACACTTAACCAGCATGGCTACCACAGCATTCTGCAGCAATACGCCATCCAATCTGGTTTGGGCTTAGTGGGACTATCATTTGTTTTTCAACAGGACAATGACCCAACACTCCTCCAGGCTGTGTAAGGGCTATTTTACCAAGGAGAGTGATGGAGTGCTGCATCAGATGACCTGGCCTCCACAATCCCCAGACCTCAACCCAATTGAGATAGTTTGGGATGAGTCAGACTGCAGAGTGAAGGAAATGCAGCCAACAAGTGCTCAGCATATGTGGGAACTCCTTCAAGACTGTTGGAAAAGCATTCCAGGTGAAGCTGGTTGAGAAAATGCCAAGCGTGTGCAAAGCTGTCATCAAGGGTGACTATTTGAAGAATCTCAAATATAAAATATATTTTGATTTGTTTAACACTTTTTTGGTTACTACATGATCCCATATGTGTTATTTCATAGTTTTGATTTCTTAACTATTATTCTACAATGTAGAAAATAGTACAAATTAAGAAAAACCCTTGAATGAGCAGGTGTTTTAAACTTTTGACGGGTAGTGTATAAAAATGATGAAAAGTATGTCATTGCACTTGCTGACAGGGAATCTATACGAGGTGGTCACATTAACTACTGGTGCCAGCTACACATTAGCTTTGCATTTGTATTTACTATGGATCCCCATTAGTTACTGCGAAGGCAGCAGCTACTCTTCCTGGGGTCCGGCAAAATTAAGGCAGTTATACAATTTTAAAAACATTACAATACATTCAGAACAGATTTCACAACCCACTATGTCTGTGCCCTTAGGCCCCTACTCCACTACCACATACAGTGGCTTGCGAAAGTATTCACCCCCCTTGGCATTTTTCTTATTTTGTTGCCTTACAACCTGGAATTAAAATTGATTTCTGGGGGGTTTGTATCATTTGATTTACACAACATGCCTACCACTTTGAAGATGCAAAATATTTTTTTATTGTGAAACAAACAAGAAATAAGACAAAAAAACAACTTTAGCGTGCATAACTATTCACCCCCCCAAAGTCAGTCAATACTTTGTAGAGCCACCTTTTGCAGCAATTACAGCTGCAAGTCTCTTGGGGTATGTCTCTATAAGCTTGGCACATCTAGCCAATGGGATTATTGCCCATTCTACAAAGCAAAACTGCTCCGTCCCAGTCTCAAATCTCTGGAAGACTGAAACAGGTCTCCCTCAATAACTTCCCTGTATTTAATGCCATCCATCATTCCTTCAATTCTGACCAGTTTCCCAGTCCCTGCCGATGAAAAACATCCCGACAGCATGATGCTGCCACCACCATGCTTCACTGTGGGGATGGTGTTCTCGGGGTGATGAGAGGTGTTGGGTTTGCGGCAGACATTTTCCTTGATGGCTAAAAATAACAATTTTAGTCTCACCTTTTTCCATATATTTGGGGAATCTCCCACATGCCTTTTGGCGAACACCAAACGTGTTTGCTTACTTTTTTCTGGCCAGTCTTCTGTAAAGCCCAGCTCTGTGGAGTGTACGGCTTAAAGTGGTCCTATGGACAGATACTCCAATCTCCGCTGTGGAGCTTTGCAGCTCCTTCAGGGTTATCTTTGGTCTCTTTGTTGCCTCTCTGATTTATGCCCTCCTTGCCTGGTCCGTGAGTTTTGGTGGGCGGCCCTCTCTTGGCAGGTTTGTGTGGTGCCATATTCTTCCAATTTTTTTATAATGGATATAATGGTGCTCCGTGGGATGTTCAACGTTTTTGATATTTTTTTAGAACCCAACCCTGATCTGTACTTCTCCACAACTTTGTCCCTGACCTGTTTGGAGAGCTCCTTGGTCTTCATGGTGCCGCTTGCTTGGTGGTGCCCCTTGCTTAGGGGCCTTTCAGAACAGGTGTATATATACTGAGATCATGTGACACTTAAATAAAGTCCACCTGTGTGCATTCTAACTAATTAAGGTAATTGGTTGCACCAGATCTTAATTTTTGAAACAAGTTTTTTTTTTCATTTCACTTCACCAATTTGGACTATTTTGTGTACGTCCATCACATGAAATCCAAATAAAAATCCATTTAAATTACAGGTTGTAATGCAACAAAATAGGAAAAACGCCAAGGGGGATGAATACTTTTGCAAGGCACTGTATCTGCAACACAAAATCCATGTATATGTGTGTGTATAGTGCGTATGTTACCATGTGTCTGCGCCTCGGTTTGCATTGATTCGCAGTCCCCGCTGTTCCATAAGGTGTATTTTTTTCTGTTTTTTTTATCAGATTGTACTGCTTGCATTAGTTACCTGATGTGGAATAGAGTTCCATGCATTCATGGCTCTATGTAGTACTGTGCGCCTCCCATAGTCTGTTCTTGACTTGGGGACTGAGAAGAGACCTCTGGTGGCATGTCTTGTGGGTATGCATGGGTGTCTGAGCTGTGAGCTAGTCTTTTAAAATGTCAATACCTCTCACAAATACAAGTAGTGATGAAGTCCACTCCACTTTGAGCCAGGAGACATTGACATGCATATTATTAATGTTTGCTCTCTGTGTACATCCAAGGGCCAGCCGTGCTGCCCTCTTCTGAGCCAATTGCGATTGTCTTAAGTCCCTCTTTGTGGCACCTGACCACATGACTGAACAGTAGTCCAGTTGCAACAAAACTAAAGCCTGCCTTGTTGATAGTGCTGTTAAGAAGGTAAAGCAGCGCTTTACTATGGACAAACTTCTCACCATCTTAGCTACTGTTGTATCAACATGTTTTGACCATGACAGTTTACAATCCAGGGTTACTCCATGCAGTTTAGTCTCCTCAACTTGCTCAATTTACACATTATTTATTACAAGATTTAGTTGAGGTTTAGGGTTTAGTAAATGATTTGTCCCAAATACAATGCTTTTAGTTTTTGAAATATTTAGGACTAACTTATTCCTTGCCACCCATTCTGAAACTAACTGCAGCTCTATGTTAAGTGTTGCAGTCATTTCAGTCGCTGTAGTAGCTGACGTGTATAGTGTTGAGTCATCCACATACATAGACACTAACTTTACTCAAAGTCAGTGGCATGTCTTTAGTAAAGATTGAAAAAAGTAAGGGGCCTAGACAGCTGCCCTGGGGAATTCCTGATTCTACCTGGATTATGTTGGAGATGCTTCCATTAAAGAATATGCTCTGTGTTCTGTTAGACAAGTAACTCTTTATCCACAATATAGCAGGGGGTGACCACCAAGTGCTAACAGTCAGTATTTGGATAACATGTGTGAAATGCTTGATAATGTATGTGATATCAATAGAGAAGTATACTTTCTGGGTGATTTAAATATTGACTGGGTTTCATCAGGCTGCCCACTCAAGAGAAAACTTCAAACTGTAACCAGTGCCTGCAACCTGGTTCAGGTTATCAGTCAACCTACCAGGGTAGTTTAAAACAGTACAGGAATTAAATCATCAACATGTATTGATCATATCTTTACTAATGCTGCATAGATTTGTTTGAAAGCAGTATCCAAATCCATTGGAGGTAGTGCTCACAATATAGTAGCCATATCTAGGAAAACCAAAGTTCCAAAGGCTGGGCCTAATATTGTGTATAAGAGGTCATACAATACGTTTTGTAGTGATTCCTACATTGTTGATGTAAAGAATATATGTTGGTCCGTGGTGTGTAATGAGGAGCAACCAGAAGCTGCACTTTTTCTGAAATTGCTTATTCAAGTTACTAATAAGCATGCACCCATTAAGAAATTGACTGTAAAAACTTAAATCCCAGTGGATTGATGAGGAATTGAAAAATTGTATGGTTGAGAGGGATGAGGCAAAAGGAATGGCAAATAAGTCTGGCTGCACAACCGATTGGCAAACGTATTGCAAATTGAGAAATCATGTGACTAAACTGAATAAAAAGAAGAAGAAACAACACTATGAAACAAAGATAAATGACATAAAGAATGATAGTAAAAAGCTTTGGAGCACCTTAAATTAAATATTGGGAAAAACGGCAAACTCGGCTCCATCATTCATTAAATCAGATGGCTCATTCATCACAAAACCAGCTGATATTGCAAACTACTTTAATCATTTTTTCCATTGGCAAGATAAGCAAACTTAGGCATGACATGCCAGCAACAATTGCTGACACTACACATCCAAGTATATCTGACCAAATTATGAAAGACAAGCATTGTAATTTTGAATTCTGTAAAGTGAGTGTGGAAGAGGTGAACAAATTATTGTTGTCTATTAACAATGACAAGCCACCGGGGTCTGACAACTTGGATGGAAAATTGCTGAGGATAATAGCGGACTATATTGCCACTCCTATTTGCCATATTCTCAATTTAAGCCTACTAGAAAGTGTGTGCCCTCAGGCCTGGAGGGAAGCAAAAGTAATTCCGCTACCTAAGAATAGTAAAGCCCCCTTTACTGACTCAAATAGCCGACCAATTAGCCTGTTACCAACCCTTAGTAAACTATTGGGAAAAATGGTGTTTGACCAGATACAATGCTATTTTACTGTAAACAAATTGACAACCAACTTTAAGCACGCTTATAGGGAAGGACATTCAACAAGCACATCACTTACACAAATGACTGATGATTGGCTGAGAGAAATTGATGATACAAATATTGTGGGGGCTGTTTTGTTAGACTTCAGTGCGGCTTATGACATTATCGATCATAGTCTGCTGCTGGAAAAACGTGTGTGTTATGGCTTTACACCCCCTGCTATATTGTGGATAAAGAGTTACTTGTCTAACAGAACACAGAGGGTGTTCTTTAATGGAAGACTCTCAAACTTAATCCAGGTGGAATCAGGAATTCCCCAGGGCAGCTGTCTAGGCCCCTTGCTTTTTTCCATCTTTCCATTTCCATTTTAGTCATTTAGCAGACGCTCTTATCCAAAGCGACCTTACTAACGACATGCCACTGGCTTTGAGTAAAGCCATGTATGCGGATGACTCAACACCATACACGTCAGCTACTACAGCAACTGAAATAACTGCAACACTTAAAGAGTTGCAGTTAGTTTCGAAGTGGGTGGAAGGAATAAGTTAGTCCTGAATAATTCCAAAACTAAAATCATTGTATTTGGGTCAAATCATTCACTAAGCCCTAAACCTCAACTACATCTCGTAATGAATAATGTGGAAATTGAGCAAGTTGAGACAAATAAACTGCTTGGAGTAACCCTGGATTGTAGAGGAGGAGAGAGGAGAGAGAAGAGGAAGAGGAGGAGGAGGGGAGAGAAGAGAAATAGGGAGAGAGAGGAAGGAAGGAAAGGAGGAGAAAGATGGAGAGAACAGAGAGGTGGTAGAGGAGAAGAGAGGAGAGAGAGGAGAAAGAGAGGAGAGAGAGGAGAAAGAGCTGAGAGGAGAGAGAGAGGTGTGAGGACAGAGGGGTGGGAGGACAGAGAGGGGTGGGAGGACAGAGGGGTGGGAGGACAGAGAGGGGTGGGAGGACAGAGAGGTAGTAGAGGAAAAGAGGGGGGGGGCGAGAAGAAGGGGAGGGCAATGAAGAGGGAGAGGGGGAGATAGGAGGAGAAGACTTACTCTGCAGACTGGGAAGGTTGGTATCCTCTGGTTTGGTTTTGAGCAGATGAGGCAGCCGTGTGTATCTGTACCCAAACCCACAGCCCTGTAGAAGAACAGAACCCATGGTGAGGCTGGGGTCAGTGAGGACAATATAGAAGAGGTCAGGGACAAGAGAACCCATGGTGAGGCTAGGGGTCAGTGAGGGCAATATAGAAGAGGACAAGAGAGAGAGCGAGAACCCACAGCCTTGCAACAGAACCCATGGTGGGACAACGGTGACCTTGTGCACTCAGAACCCAATATATAAGACAGCAGCGGGCATGGTGTTGATAGGGGCGAACCAAGGACAGGGTACGTACCCTCCACAGTCGCACCAGGATCCAGTTGGTCTGAGCCCAGGGCCTCTGTTCATACGGAGCCAGCAGGTTTCTCATCATGGACACACGTCTAGGAGACAAACATACCGTTTCACATACAGACTCAGTGATGCTTTCACATACAGGTTCAGTGATGCTTTCACATACAGACTCAGTGATGCTTTCACATACAGACTCAGTGATGCTTTCACATACAGACTCAGTGATGCTTTCACATACAGTGCCTTCGGAAAGTATTCAGACCCCTTGACCTTTTCCACATTTTGATGTTACGTTACAGCATTATTCTAAAATGGATTAAATAAATACATTTCCTCAGCAATCTACACACAATACCCCATAATAAAGTGAAAACAGGTTATTATAAATGTTTGCAAATGTATTAAAAATAAAAAACAGAAATATCTTATTTACATAAGTATTCAGACCGTTTATTATGAGATTAGAAATTGAGCTCAGGCGCATCCTGTTGCCATTGATCATCCTTGAGTTGTTGCTACAACTTGATTGGAGTCCACCTGTGGTAAATTCAATTGATTGGACATGATTTGGAAAGGCACACAACCTTTCTATATAAGGTCCCACAGTTGACAGTGCATGTCAGAGCAAAAACCAAGCCATGAGGTCAAAGGAATTGTCCGTAGAGATCAGAGACAGGATTGTGCCGAGGCACAGATCTGGGGAAGGGTACCAAAACATTTCTACAGCATTGAAAGTCCACAAGAACAAGTGGCCTCCATCATTCTTAAATGGAAGTAGTTTGGAACCACCAAGACTCTTCCTAGAGCTGGCCGCCCGGCCAAACTGAGCAATCGGGGGAGAAGGGCCTTGGTTAGGGAGATGACCAAGAACCCGATGGTCACTGACAGAGCTCCAGAGTTCCTCTGTGCAGATAGGGGAACCTTCCAGAAGGACAACCATCTCTGCAGCACTCCACCAATCAGGCCTTTATGGTAGAGTGGCCAGATGGAAGCCACTCCTTAGTAAAAGGCACATGACAGCCCGCTTGGAGTTTGCCAAAAGGCACCTAAAGGCTCTCAGACCATGAGAAACAAGATTCTCTGGTCTGATGAAACCAAGATTTAACTATTTGGCCTGAATGCCAAGCGTCACGTCTGGAGGAAACCTGGCACCATCCCTAAGGTGAAGCATGGTGGTGGCAGCATCATGCTGTGGGGATATTTTTCAGCGGCAGGGACTGGGAGACTAGTCAGGATCGAGGCAAAGATGAACGGAGCAAAGTACAGAGAGATCCTTGATGAAAACGTGCTCCAGAGCGCTCAGGACCTCAGACTGGGGCGAAGGTTCACCTTCCAACAGGACAACGACCCTAAGCACACAGCCAAGACAACGCAGGAGTGGCTTCGGGACAAGTCTCTGAATGTCCTTGAGTGGCCCAGCCAGAGCCCGGACTTGAACCCGATCGAACATCTCGGGAGAGACCTGAAAATAGCTGTGCATCGACGATCCCCATCCAATCGGACAGAGCTTGAGAGGATCTGCAGAGAAGAATGGGAGAAACTCCCCAAATACAGGTGTGCCAAGCTTGTAGCGTCATATCCAAGAAGACTCGAGGCTGTAATCGCTGCCAAAGGTGCTTCAACAAAGTACTGAGTAAAGGGTCTGAATACTTATGTAAATGTGATATTTCAGTTCTTTATTTTTAATAAATTAGCAAACATTTCTAAAAACCTGTTTTGCTTTGTCATTATGGGGTATTGTGTGTAGATTGATGAGGGAAAAAAACAATTTACTACATTTTATAATAAGGCTGTAACGTAACAAAATGTGGAAAAAGTCAAGGGGTCTGAATACTTTCCAAAGGCTTTCACATACAGACTCAGTGATGCTTTCACATAGGACACAGCTTGCAAGACACACCTGATATAAGTGAGAGAAATGATTGGCAGAGAGAAGAGGCTATTTGGTGTCTGTTTTTGGTATGTTGACAAGACCTTGAGAATAAAACACACACAAACGCATGCACTACAATACACACACAGTACTCACTGTTCCTCTGGGATCCTCTCCACGGCTCTGAGGGATTGTGGGTAACACACGTAACTGGCCAGAGCCTGCATGAGGGAGTCTTTGATGTCTACGGGGAGAGAAACACAAACACAACGATGTTTAAAATTCATATACTCAACCAGACACCAGAGTGCTACGAAGCAAGCTAGATCTACTCAGGGTTTTATAGAGCTAGCCAGCTTCAGTTAGCTTCACTTTCCAGGTCGAAGCAAGCTAGATCTACTCAGGGTTTTATAGAACTAGCCAGCTTCAGTTAGCTTCACTTTCCAGGTCGAAGCAAGCTAGATCTACTCAGGGTTTTATAGAACTAGCCAGCTTCAGTTAGCTTCACTTTCCAGGTTGAAGCAAGCTAGATCTACTTAGGGTTTTATAGAACTAGCCAGCTTCAGTTAGCTTCACTTTCCAGGTCAAAGCAAGCTAGATCTACTCAGGGTTTTATAGAACTAGCCAGCTTCAGTTAGCTTCACTTTCCAGGTCGAAGCAAGCTAGATCTACTCAGGGTTTTATAGAGCTAGCCAGCTTCAGTTAGCTTCACTTTCCAGGTCGAAGCAAGCTAGATCTACTCAGGGTTTTATAGAGCTAACCAGCTTCAGTTAGCTTCACTTTCCAGCTCAGGCTTCATCCGTACTACAACGGTGGATATTGCTCGTCCGCCTGCCGCTAACTCTTGAAGGCTTGTAACTGCGCGTGCATGTCGAACACCAAACTCTTCATTAAGACAAAGCTGAACCATCAACCCATGGGTGAGTCAATGCCACATTTCCATTTGTGCCAAAATCAAAATGGATGAAAGGTTATTGCAAATTCAGCAAGCTATGGCGTGAAATAGGATGTTAGAAGTGCCATCTTTCTTTTATTACGTAGGCTTATCGTTAATGCATATCGTTAATGCATTTCTACCTCAAAGCGCCTTGACGGTCATTACAATATATGCATATTTAACAGCAGAATAGCCCGGTGTTGATTTGCACCAGTATCCACCAGTCTATTTACTGTAATAAACACAATCCCAAAGAAATCCATTAATATTTTGTATAGGAAGGTCCTAAAAAAAACATGATCTCAAGACAATTTATTTCAACAGAAGACAATAGCATGTTTTGAGTTGTATTTATCTGTGCTTATTCAAGGCTATATGGCTGTGACATGCCAATGAAATGAACTTGTTCATTTAGCAGACATCACACTCATATTATCCTGCCCTACCAGCCAAAACACATATCTTACAGTAAGAATATAACCAAACAAAATAAAGGATATTCTTTAAAAATGGCCGCCAGTAGCCAAGTGAGGAACGCGTTTGTGATTCTAGGAAAAAGTTGTATTTTGAAACAAAGCCAATCTTCGCAATTTGGAGATCTTGCCAAATACCACAGGTTCATTAGAAACAGAATCCGCTCTTTCCGATAGGGTATAGCAATCAACATCTGGCCTGCATGGACCTCTGTATGATGATTTGGAATAAGTGCTGTTTGGTAAGCTCAGTTCCCTTCTTTGTCAATGCACGCTGTGCTGTTCATCAGTCTCAAATTTGACAATTGATAAGATTGTCACCCATCAGGTGATTTAATATTGTCTTGTGTGAAATTAGTTTAAATAAAGTTTAGGTGTAGTTTGGACGGGTCATTAGGTGTAGTTTGGACGGCCATTAGGTGTAGTTTGGACGGGCCATTAGGTGTAGTTTGGACGGGCCATTAGGTGTAGTTTGGACGGGCCATTAGGTGTAGTTTGGACGGGCCATTAGGTGTAGTTTGGACGGGCCATTAGGTGTAGTTTGGACGGGCCATTAGGTGTAGTTTGGACGGGCCATTAGGTGGGCAGGCAACTGTCAGCTTATTTTTGTATTACAGTCTATGTGCTTCTGGATCAATCAATACATTCTCTGAATGATTACAATTTACACTAAGCTAACATATGGAATTGTTTTAAGGTGGTCATACCATGGATCATTTAGCTATTTGATTTGGAATTTTAGGACCCCTTTAGGTATAAAAAAGTATAATAAGATATAGAACATGGTATTTACTACTAAAGCCCATAGGAACACATTGAATAACACATTCATACATGGCAAAAGAGAGTCAAAAAATAAATCATAAGGAATAAGGTTTTGAAGTTTCTATCCTATATCCAGGAGATGTAACTAAGAAAGCTCTGGAAATATTTTAGTTTTTTTGGACACAAATTAAACTCCTTTTTTTTGTTGTTGGCACAAAACTACCTCCATACTTTGTTTTGTTTGTATAGGTCACCTTCAGTTGAGTACCGTGACACTTGTGGGGTCCGTGGAGCAAAACGGAGAAGACTATCGTGTTCGTGGGACTCCCCCCTCTCCACAGAGCGGTCATATTAGTTTGTTCTAATTCGGATGCTACATACTCTTTCTTGAGAAGACTTATTCGGGATGTCTCATGGTCTGATAAACTCGGCCACCGGAAGGCCGACATAGGCGGATGCAGTTGATTGAGACGCAGCCCATAATATCCATCTTAAACTGACTGGGATTTTTTACATTATGTTACTTAGTTTGATGCACGGGTGCGCCCATAGACTTAAGGATTACATGTGTAATGTGATAGGTACAGTATTTTATGAGAGTCAGCTGGTATAGAAGGACTTGATCTTGGTCCTGTATTGACTCTTTGCCTGTTTGATGGCTCGTCGGAGGGTCGTAGCAGGATTTCTTATAAGCGTCCGGATTAGTGTCCCGCTCCTTGAAAGCGGCAGCTCTAGCCTTTAGCTCAGTGCGGATGTTGCCTGTAATCCATGGCTTCTGGTTGGGATATGTACGCACGGTCACTGTGGGGATGACGTCGTCGATGCACTTATTAATGAAGCCGGTGACTGATGTGGTATACTCCTCAATGTAATCAGATGAATCCCAGAACATATTCCAGTCTGCTAGTGAAACAGGATATTACAGTTCTTCAGATCATGTTGATAGTCTCAAACGGAGCTCGTCCAAATTTATTCTCCAATGATTGCGCGTTCACCAATAGAACGGAAGGCGATTTATCCACTCTCCGACATGGAGATTTCTGGCTCCCAGGTGTCTTTTTTACAGGTAACGAGCTGAGATTAGGAGCACACTCTTAAAGGGAGTGCTCCTAATCTCAGCTTGTTACCTGTATAAAAGACACCGGTCCACAGAAGCAACCAATCAATCAGATTCCAAACTCTCCACCATGGCCAAGACCAAAGAGCTCTCCAAGGATGTCAGGGACAAGATTGTAGACCTACACAAGGCTGGAATGGGCTACAAGACCATCGCCAAGCAGCTTGGTGAGAAGGTGACAACAGTTGGTGCAATTATTCGCAAATGGAAGAAACACAAAACTGTCAATCTCCCTCAGCCTGGGGCTCCATGCAAGATCTCACCTTGTGGAGTTGCAATGATCATGAGAACGGTGAGGAATCAGCCCAGAACTACACGGGAGGATCTTGTCAATGAACTCAAGGCAGCTGGGACCATAGTCACCAAGAAAACAATTGGTAACACACTACGCCGTGAAGGACTGAAGTCCTGCAGCGCCCGCAAGGTCCCCCTGCTCAAGAAAGCACATATACAGGACTGTGAAGTTTGCCAATGAACATCTGAATGATTCAGAGGAGAACTGGGTGAAAGTGTTGTGGTCAGATGAGACCAAAATCGAGCTCTTTGGCATCAACTCAACTCGCCGTGTTTGGAGGAGGAGGAGGAATGCTGCCTATGACTCCAAGAACACCATCCCCACCTTCAAACATGGAGGTGGAAACATTATGCTTTGGGGGTGTTTTTCTGCTAAGGGGACAGGACAACTTCACCGCATCAAAGGGACGATGGACGGGGCCATGTACCGTCAAATCTTGGGTGAGAACCTCCTTTCCTCAGCCATGGCATTGAAAATGGGTCGTGGATGGGTATTCCAGCATGACAATGACCCAAAACACATGGCCAAGGCAACAAAGGAGTGGCTCAAGAAGAAGCATATTAAGGTCCTGGAGTGGCCTAGCCAGTCTCCAGACCTTAATCCCATAGAAAATCTGTGGAGGGAGCTGAAGGTTTGAGTTGCCAAACGTCAGCCTCGAAACCTTAATGACTTGGAGAAGATCTGCAAAGAGGATTGGGACAAAATCCCTCCTGAGATGTGTGCAAACCTGGTGGCCAACTACAAGAAGCATCTGACCTCTGTGATTGCCAAAAAGGGTTTTACCACCAAGTACTAAGTCATGTTTTGCAGAGGGGTCAAATACTTATTTCCCTCATTAAAATGATAATCAATTTATAACATTTTTTATATGGATTTTTCTGTTTTTTTGTTGTTGTTATTCTGTCTCTCACTGTTCAAATAAACCTACCATTAAAATTATAGACTGATCATGTCTTTGTCAGTGAGCAAACGTACAAAATCAGCAGGGGATCAAATACTTTTTTCCCTCACTGTATGTGTGTGTGTTCTCACAGATACCTGTATAGAGCCAGCACTTGGAGACTTGCAAGATGATGTGATGAAGTCCAGACTGACATACGGGCTTGATACTGATGTCTCTGAATGGAGAGAGACCTGACACTGACAGACACGCTTGATACTGATGTCTCTAAATGGAGAGAGACCTGGTAATCTGACAGACTGGCTTGATACTGATGTCTCTGAATGGAGAGAGACCTGGCACTCTGACAGACAGGCTTGCTACTGATGTCTCTAAATGGAGAGAGACCTGGCACTCTGACAGACAGGCTTGATACTGATGTCTCTGAATGGAGAGAGACCTGACACTGACAGACAGGCTTGATACTGATGTCTCTAAATGGAGAGAGACCTGGCACTCTGACAGACAGGCTTGATACTGATGTCTCTGAATGGAGAGAGACCTGGCACTCTGACAGACAGGCTTGATACTGATGTCTCTGAATGGAGAGGGACCTGACACTCGGCATTAACATTTTACTAGACAGTTTTTACTTGTATTGTCTTTTTTATTATTGAATTGAATGTTATCAGTCAATATGGGGAGGGAGAAACCCTGTGTATTCTGCACCAGGATCAGGGAACTCCTGTTGTATACGAGACACCACACAAGAAGTTATGACCACTCCGACATGTTACCAAGGTAACCCCATTACCACCAGACAGGAAGTTATGACCACTCTGACATGTTACCAAGGTAACCCCATTACCACCAGGCAGGAAGTTATGACCACTCTGACATGTTACCAAGGTAGCCCCATTACCACCAGACAGGAAGGTATGACCACTCTGACATGTTACCAAGGTAACCCCATTACCACCAGACAGGAAGGTATGACCACTCTGACATGTTACCAAGGTAACCCCATTACCACCAGGCAGGAAGTTATGACCACTCTGACATGTTACCAAGGTAGCCCCATTACCACCAGACAGGAAGGTATGACCACTCTGACATGTTACCAAGGTAACCCCATTACCACCAGACAAAATGTTGATAGTCACAGTATCTGTATCGGCTGGGAATCACAATGAAAGATGGAAGGTGAACATTGTTAAATAATCAGAACACTGCTTCTATGGTGTTATGTAAAGGGTTGTTTATTCTACATGGACCTGTTACTACATTTGAAAGTTATTAAAACACTTAGTTTAGAATATCTACATAAATTCAGCAGTTGCATTCTTCTCATATTACTCTGTAGGCTACTGACCTATTCAAATCTTCCTCCAGCATCTCACCATACATCTCCCTGTAGTTATTGAGCTCCACCTGCAGGAGGTTTGTTTGTTGTGATTGAGTGGGAGGAAACCGCTGCGGGCAAGGTTCTGACAGATGGGTGTGTCTTGGTGGTGGCAAGGACACACCCAAGAAACATCCACACCCCCAAGCCAGCTCACGTTTGGCTTCTGTCATGGCTGCCAGCATTTCTTGAGGAGCAAGCCAAAAAACGAGGCCAAATCAGCGGGTGCAGTTCCCCTTTAAGAAGAGCTAACTGAACTGGATCAGAACCAAAACAATAACAGTCAGATCCCTGAGAACTGAATAAGGTGAAAGCTTCATAACTCCTTTGACGTATCAAACCATCTGAGACAGTGAGATGGGAAAAATCTCATTCTAATGAAGCCAAAACAAACATGACGGAGCATAACAACATATGGGGGATTGGAAGTGATGCAGACAATTACATTGATGGAAGTTACAATCTATCTGCAATATTAAAGCTAATCTACCCCCTATAAAAATAAAATAATAAAAACATGATGGAGCATAAATAAGAAGAATGTATCCCGTCTTACCCTCGAAATGCAATCATAACAACAACAACGCAGAGTTACGCAACGCTGAGCCCAGAGAATAAACAAACACACTGTCTGACTTCCAAATGCCACCTTATTCCCTATTTAGTGCACTACTTTTGACTTGGGCCCATATGGTTCTGGGTTGAAAGTAGTGGACTATAATAGAGAAAAGGGTGCCATTTGTTACGCACTGAGTGACTGAGAATAATAATGAACACTGAAGCTTTTATATGACCATAACTGTTGGATTTTTTTTTTACATACTGTATAAATACTAAGATGTGTATCTAAGACATGACTGATGTCTTACGAATAGAGTTAGATTAGAGTTATGGTGCGTCTGAAATGGCACTCTTCACTATATAGCGCACTACCTTCGGGCCCTATTATAAGGAATAGGGTGCATTTGGGACACATACTGAAGTGTATCTGAGGTGACTGGAGAGAGTTATATTATTAGACTATTCTCAGTGTCACACACCAGGATACATAACATTATTCAAATGAATACTGAATCAGACCTGGGTTCAAATACTATTTGAAATAATTCACTGTCCTTTATCTGGGCTTGATTGAGTTTACCCGGCTTTAATGGACCAATATAATAGTCCAAAAAGTACAAACCCCACTCATCTGGCACTATTGGCAACTAGGCAGGATAGAGAGAAAACTCAAAAGTATTTGAATGATTTCAAATAGTATTTGAACCCACCCAGGGTCTGCTGAACACTCAATCTGAAAATACAGACAGACATTTCCTGCCTGGAGCTCAAACAGACACTTCCTTTCATTTACTCTGTCTGCCTGGAGCTCAAACAGACACTTCCTTTCATTTACTCTGTCTGCCTGGAGCTCAATTGTAAAAACTTTTAATTATCTGCTTATAGTTAGAAATTAATCCTGGTGAAAAATAGCAGTACCGGTGGCTATATAAAGTCTACATTTCCCATTAAAATAGCTGGTAACAGATGACTCTGTCCTCTTGTGTTAATAGCATAGACAGATGTGTGTGGCCCATAAAGCTAGGTTCAAAAGCAGTGCACTATGTAGGGAACAGGGTGCCATTTGGGATGCAGACTGGGTGACTAATTCACATTGCTGCTCTAGAGATGAATCTGTCTACTTCTTCTTAAACCTGTTAGCTAACAAACAGGAACTACAGTATGTAGTCTCTCAGGTATTCTTCTTAATAATAAACAGGTACAGAAATAAAGGCTTTAGGTGAGGCGCTGACAAACGGAAGACCAACTATACAGATGAAAACCAGAGCCCCACACACTTCTCATCTCTCCTTGTTGTGCATTGATAAATAGAGCCAGGAATTGAGACGAGAGCAGGCAAAACTCCAGGGCCTAGTAACTCGGAAACCAGAGTTCTTCATGGTCAGGTCGATTCTCTTCAGTAATGTGTTTCGGTATAACTCCAGGCCCCTACTAATAAATGAAATGATGGCGTATAATATGATGGATATGTCTGCGATTGCTTCCACTCACCTGTTCCAACGATGCGCGGGTCAGCAAAGTGCTTAGCGAGGATAGCAGCGAGTTGAGTGAGGGTGTCCTCGTAGCCTGGGGAAAAGACACACAATTGACCGGGAGATTAACGACCACATCACACAGTGGACAAACAGCATCCTGGTTACTGTACTTCTGCTTGCTCTTTAGGGATCTAGGCCGGGCTACCGTACAAGCATTCTGTGACAATCGCAGATGGAAAAATGGCTATAAATAAATATGATTGATAAATAAATAGTGACTTTGTCAGCAGGAGGAGATGTCACTGAGGAGAGATCACAGCCTTTACGATTCCCATCCTGACAGGTTGATTTAATACATTCTCAAAAGGAGCCATATTTGATAATGCTCTTTAAATGTGTATGCAAATTCAGTTATCACAACTAAAACTGCCAAACAGAGTAGAAGACGAAAAACTAGCAGTTATATTGCAGAACTATCGTCTGCATATAATCCGCATATCAATTAATTATAATGGAATAGGGCCGCCTATCATCTGCATATCAATGAATTATAATGGAATAGGGCTGCCTATCATCTGCATATCAAAGAAGTATAATGGCACAGGGCTCCAGCCTTAGTGTGTTGTTGTCACCTGACAAAGTAGCTGTTCATGGCCACAAACACAGCCTTAAAGCAGGCAGGAAAGCAGGCAGGAGGCGGGCGGGCGGGCGTGCGTGTGGTTACCTGGCAGTTGGTCCATGCAGTTGGAGGGGCTGAAGTAGTTCTTGAGAGCGCTATAGCTGTTCATGGCCACATTGAGGTAGAACTCTGGGGTGAAGGCGAACAACGTTCCTGTGTTGTCAGCGTGCTGGATGGTGAGGATACATACCCTCAGTAGCCAGTACACATCCAGCATCTTATCCTGGAATAACACACAGAGAGAGAATGATTTAATCATCTTCTCCTGGAATAACACACAGAGGGAGATGTTTTAATGATCTTCTTCTGGAATAAAACACAGAGGGAGATGTTTTAAACAAGCAAAACAACACCTACGGTACAGTAGTAATTTATGTTGTAGCTTTTCTTGAACAATGTGTGCCACACAACGTGTTCCACACAGAACAGCGAAGACCGTGACCGGGTTCATTGGCTGTTTTTTTACTCTCCTACCTTCCAGTAGATGTGCTGGGTACTGTGGGCTACTCTCCTACCTTCCAGTAGATGTGCTGGGTACTGTGGGTACTATCCTACCTTACAGTAGATGTGCTGGGGTACTGTGGGTACTCTCCTACCTTACAGTAGATGTGCTGGGTACTGTGGGTACTCTCCTACCTTACAGTAGATGTGCGTGTACTCTCCTACCTTACAGTAGATGTGCTGGGTACTGTGGGTACTCTCCTACCTTACAGTAGATGTGCTGGGTACTGTGGGTACTCTCCTACCTTCCAGTAGATGTGCTGGGTACTGTGGGTACTCTCCTACCTTACAGTAGATGTGCTGGGTACTGTGGGTACTCTCCTACCTTACAGTAGATGTGCTGGGTACTGTGGGTACTCTCCTACCTTACAGTAGATGTGCTGGGTACTGTGGGTACTCTCCTACCTTACAGTAGATGTGCTGGGTACTGTGGGTACTCTCCTACCTTACAGTAGATGTGCTGGGTACTGTGGGTACTCTCCTACCTTACAGTAGATGTGCTGGGTACTGTGGGTACTCTCCTACCTTACAGTAGATGTGCTGGGTACTGTGGGTACTCTCCTACCTTACAGTAGATGTGCTGGGTACTGTGGGTACTCTCCTACCTTACAGTAGATGTGCTGGGTACTGTGGGTACTCTCCTACCTTGCAGTAGATGGTAGCGTTGATCCAGGCCAGTCTCCTACCTTGCAGTAGATGGTAGCGTTGATCCAGGCCAGTCTCCTACCTTGCAGTAGATGGTAGCGTTGATCCAGGCCAGTCTCCTACCTTGCAGTAGATGGTAGCGTTGATCCAGGCCAGTCTCCTACTCAGGTGGTTCAGCTTCTCAGCAAACACCTTCTGACTCTTCTGCAGCTCCTCCAGGATGTCTGGTCTCTAAAACGTGGACACGTTCAGAGTGTAAGAAAAAGACATGACTAATAATAGCGCTGTTCATCACAGAAAGCACTCTAATAAAGCAGACTGTTCATTCAGACCGTTATCGTACACGTACAGTACATTCGGAAAGTATTCAGACCCCTTGACTTTTTCCACATTTTGTTACGTTAGTCTTATTTTAAAATTGATTCAATAAATAAAAATCATCAATCTACACACAATACCCCATAATGACGAAGCGAAAAACAGGTTTACACACATTTTAAAAAATGTATTAAAAATACAGAAATACCTTCTTTACATAAGTATTCAGACCCTTTGCTATGAGACTCGAAATTGAGCTCAGGTGCATCCTGTTTGCATCGATCAAACAGTTAAATCCCCTTCAATTGATGAGGAATTGAAAAATGGTATGGCTTAGAGGGATGAGGCGAAAGGTATGGCAAATAAGTCTAGCAGCCCAAATTATTGGCAAACGTACTGCAAAACTGAGAAATCATGTGACTAAACTAAATAAAAATAAACTATGCTATGAAACAAAAATAAATGATATAAAGAATGATAGTAAAAAGCTTTGGAGCACCTTAAATGACATTTTTGGAAGAAAGGCAAACTCGGCTCCATCATTCATTGAATCAGATGGCTCATATATCACAAAACCCACTGATATTGCCAACTACTTTAATAATTTCCTAAACTAAAAGCATTGTATTTGGGACAAATCATTCACTAAACCCTAAACCTCAACTACATCTCGTAATGAATGTGGAAATTGAGCAAGTTGAGGTGACTAAACTGCTTGGAGTAACCCTGGATTGTAAACTGTCATGGTCAAAACATATTGATACAACAGTAGCTAAGATGGGGAGAAGTCGGTCTACATAAAGCGCTGCTCTGCCTTCTGTTCAGTCGTGTGGTCAGGTGCCACAAAGAGGGACTTACGAAAATTGCAGTTGGCTCAGAACAGGGCAGCACGGCTGGCCCTTAAAAGTACACGGAGAGCTAACATTAATGATATGCATGTCAATCTCAGTATGACAAAAAATGTATGTACTCACTAACTGTAAGTCGTTCTGGATAAGAGCGTCTGCTAAATGACTTTTAAAAAATATATAAATAAAAAAATCTCTCATGGGTCAAAGTGGAAGAGAGATTGACATCATCACTGCTTGTTTTTGTAAGAAGCTGAATGTACCGAGCTGTCTGTTTAAACTACCAGCACACAGCTCGGACAACCTGTTTTTGCTTTTTCATTATGGGTTATAGTTTGTAGATTGATGAGGGGGGGCGACAATTTAATCAATTTTAAAAAATAAGGCAGTAAAATAACAAAATGTGGAAAAAGTCAACGAGTCCGAATACTTTCCGAATGCACTGTAAACCCGGCCCTAACCACTGGAACAATATGACTTGACAGCAGAACCTTTAACTAGAAAAGTCCTGCCATGCTCGTGTCAATAGATCGACATATGACTATTATACTAAACGCAATAGATAATAACATTACACTGATACGACTATTTGGTTATACAATAATTATGGTCTTGTATAGTTTATACTACCATTATACTGTACCTATTGCATGAAAGATAATAGATAGTAGTACTATTAGTAGTACTATTAACTACTACATAATATACTGCAATAGACTTTACTGACTATGATTAAGGCCTGGTGTTTTGGTTGATCATGTCATATGACCAGAATTTTAACCTTTATTTAAAGGCTTTTCCAGAAATGAGAACTACACCAAAAAATGAAAGTTAAATCATGTGAAATGATCAACCAAAACACAGCCCCATAACTATTGATACGTAACAGATTGATAAAATGAAATGTGTATTTAGTCTGCTGTGGCAGCGTGTGCTTTACCTCAGTGTCCTTCAGAGCCACAGCATATTCATGGTTGATTATACTATTATACAGTCCTATTAAACTATTATACTTAACAACAGTTTGAAAGAGTATATTTGTAATCTTCTGGTTGGGGCAGCATGCCATCTTATCCTCTATGATACTAAACATTACAGACTGATAACAGTTCAATAACAGATTTATATAAAAATAGTGAGGAGTGTGTATTTTACTCTTGCTGGGCAGCGTGCCATCTTCTCCTCAGTGTCCTTCAGCGCCACAGCGTATTCATGGACGTCGTCCGACACCACCACCATCTGAAGGGAAAGGTACAGGACAGGCTCAGTGACGTATACATTCACATTTTAGTTATTTAGCAGGATGCTCTTGTCCGGAGCGACTTACATTTTAGGTGAATTAATCTTAAAGGTAGCTAATCACATATCACCATAGTAGTACAGCACAGGAGATAGATGTTATACATTGACTGTTTATTATTGTACTTATATTATTTATTATTGTATTTATATTATTTATTATTGTAGTATTGTTTATTTTATTTGTATTATTTATTTATAATATAAATAATAATATGCCATTTAGCAGACGCTTTTATCCAAAGCGACTTACAGTCATGCGTGCATACATTTTTGTGTATGGGTGGTCCCGGGGATCGAACCCACTACCTTGGCGTTACAAGCGCCGTGCTCTACCAGCTGAGCTACAGAGGACCATACATTTATATTATTTGCGTGCAAATACAGTACTTTTAAAATACAGCTCAATATATTATTTCTGTGAAGCCAATAAAAACAGTCCTAACTTCGCAAAGTCCAAGTTAAAATAAAGCACACTTCAAATACTGTCAAGTGTTTTTGAAAGTATTTGACATTTATATTTGACTCCAGTCTGGTGCTGTAGCCAACTCCTCCAACCTCCTCTAACGGTGTCACGTCATTCATGTCCGCAGGATATTCCTACAGGGATGAAGACTACTGTTAATATCGAAACAAAAGTAGAAGTCAACCAGACTAGATAAAGGCTGCGTTTACACAGGCAGCGCAATTCTGACATTGTGCCACAAATTGGTGTTCTGACCAATCAGATCAGATCTTTTGACAATAAATTTGGGCAAAAGATCAGAATTGGGCCATTGAGTTTAGATGTGCCGGCGCTATTAAGGGTTACTATGGAATGGGGTAAAGTCATGTCCCAGATATTAGATATAGGCTACTGTTCCCTACAAGACATTGGTCAGTGTGAGTGAGTGAGCGCGGTAACATGAACACAATAATGCAATTGCTGTGGATAGATTAATATAATAGTTTGATTAAAACGTTTACATGCTTTCAAGAAGAACGATTTTCCCTAATAATCCTGTTAACATGGACACATTTGAAATCAGGCTACCAGATGGGGACTCTGAAAATGCAGGAAATCGTCAATCAAAATAAACATTCTACATTTTACATTTTAGTCATTTAGCAGACGCTCTTATCCAGAGCGACTTACAGTTAGTGAATGCATACATGTTTTTTATTTTTATTTTTTATTTTTTCATACTGGCCCCCCGTGGGAAACGAACCCACATCCCTGCCGGCCAAACCCTCCCCTACCTTGGACGACGCTGGACCAATTGTGCGCCGCCCATGGGTCTCCCGGTCGCGGCCGGCTGCGACAGAGCCTGGACTCGAACCAGGATCTCTAGTGGCACAGCTAGCACTGCGATGCAGTGCCTTAGACCACTGCGCCACTCGTTATTTTTGGGAACCATATTTGATCTTAGTTCAGATAAAGTTTGTATGTGAAAACTACTTCTAAGACTCATTCAGTAGTTCCCAACACACTTCACTCGCGCTAAAGAGGGAGACTCGCTCGGCTAGCACATGCATAGATCAAATACACTGCTGGAACGCCGATTAAGGTGTTCACATGTCCTAATAATTCGAAAGATTGCTCAGAAAACCAGGTCTTACTTCGATTTTGATTAAGATAAGCAGAGTAAGGTGTTTATATGACTATTGGATAATCTGCCCACTGCCATAATCAGTTTAATATCTAATTATTAGTGCGCATGTAAACGTACTCAGTGATACATTCTGAAATCACACGACAGTGGACCACATTTGGCCAAACTACTCGCCCCATCAACCAAACAATTTCCAGACACTTTCAGGGAGATATATTTCTAATATTTTCAGGGGGAGAGATAGATAGATACATACATAAATAGATACACATACATACACACACACACACACACACACACACACACATACATACATACATACATACATATATATATATATATATATATTAGGGCTGTCAAATGATTAAAATTTTTAATCAAATTAATCAGAATTTTCAGTGGATTAATCATGATTAATCACTATTTGCAATTACACCTGAATCCTAACCATTTTTTTTCTGAAATGCATACCAAAAGATAAATAACAGGACACAGATACATAATTTTCATATTATGTCTGTTTATTAACACAGCCAAATAATGGTGTTTTAAATCAAGCTGAAACATACTACACACCATAATATTTGTCTTTGTAATGTTCCATCACTTCCTCTTTGGCATTCCTCTTAACCAGGATGTACAATTTACAGTATTCAATTGAACAGAAAGCAATAAATGTAGTCAAATCATAACAGTGACCTACCACATTTTTGCACAATTTGAGTCATCTGTGGAAAAAAACATTTTCAATAAAACTTTTAAATCAAACCAAAGAACAATCTTTTACCTTTTCCTCCATTCTTTAATCCAGTTGCTCAAAAATCCAGTTGCTAACTACTATAACATGTTGCACTGAAACTGGTCTTTTTGTTTGAACATCACCTTTCAAATCTACTGAGCTTCATCATCTTTCAGCCAGTTGCTGAGGCAAACTAACTTGTTCACATTTTCTGAAAGTAAAGCTGACCTTTTCTTGTTCACAATGTGACCTGCAACTGAGAAAAGTCGTTCACAGGGAACAGTGGTTGCAGGAGTGGCTAGATATCAAATTATCTGAGGTTGATTTTGTTAATTGCCTGCAAACATTCAGCGTGGTCTGGCGCAAACCACTTGCTGAATCTGACGGCCCAGCAAACGCATGTTTGGCGTTGACATGGTACTTCAAGCTTGAACAGCTCCGGTGAAATTGAAACTCCTTCTTACAAATCTTGCAAATAACCTTGTACTTGTTAACTGTACCATCATCATTCTTTTTATATTTGAATCCGTCAATAGGCCCACTTTGCTCACCTTGCTCCATCTCGCCTCTAGCTCCCAACCACTTTCCTGACCTGAATAATTTGTCACACTGCGCATGCGTGAAATGCGTTTAAAAAATTGACGTAATTAACAGCAAACAACTAATTAACGTCGTTAACGCGCTATTTTTGACAGCCCTAATATATATACACACACACACACAGTGAGGGAAAAAAGTATTTGATCCCCTGCTGATTTTGTACGTTTGCCCACTGACAAAGAAATGATCAGTATATAATTTTAATGGTAGGTTTATTTGAACAGTGAGAGACAGAATAACAACAACAAAATCCAGAACAATGCATGTCAAAAATGTTATATATTGATTTGCATTTTAACCAAGGAAATAAGTATTTGACCCCTCTGCAAAACATGACTTAGTACTTGGTGGCAAAACCCTTGTTGGCAATCACAGAGGTCAGACGTTTCTTGTAGTTGGCCACCAGGTTTGCACACATCTCGGGAGGGATTTTGTTCCACTCCTCTTTGCAGATCTTCTCCAAGTCATTAAGGTTTCGAGGCTGACGTTTGGCAACTCGAAACCTTCAGCTCCCTCCACAGATTTTCTATGCGATTAAGGTCTGGAGACTGGCTAGGCCACTCCAGGACCTTAATGTGCTTCTTCTTGAGCCACTCCTTTGTTGCCTTGGCCGTGTGTTTTGGGTCATTGTCATGCTGGAATACCCATCCACGACCCATTTTCAATGCCCTGGCTGAGGGAAGGAGGTTCTCACCCAAGATTTGACGGTACATGGCCCCATCCATCATCCCTTTGTTGCGTGAAGTTGTCCTGTCCCCTTAGCAGAAAAACACCCCCAAAGCAGAATGTTTTCACCTCCATGTTTGACGGTGGGGATGGTGTTCTTGGGGTCATAGGCAGCATTCCTCCTCCTCCAAACACGGCGAGTTGAGTTGATGCCAAAGACCTCGATTTTGGTCTCATCTGACCACAACACATTATTCAGATGTTCATTGGCAAACTTCAGACGGGCCTGTATATGTGCTTTCTTGAGCATGGGGACCTTGTGGGCGCTGCAGGATTTCAGTCCTTCACGGCGTAGTTTGTTACCAATTGTTTTCTTGGTGACTATGGTCCCAGCTGCCTTGAGATCATTGACAAGATCCTCCCGTGTAGTTCTGGGATGATTCCTCCCCGTTCTCATAATCATTGCAACTCCACGAGGTGAGATCTTGCATGGAGCCCCAGGCCGAGGGAGATTGACAGTACTTTTGTGTTTCTTCCATTTGTGAATAATCGCACCAACTGTTGTCCCCTTCTCACCAAGCTGCTTGGCGATGGTCTTGTAACCCATTCCAGCCTTGTGTAGGTCTACAATCTTGTCCCTGACATCCTTGGAGAGCTCTTTGGTCTTGGCCATGGTGGAGAGTTTGGAATCTGATTGATTGATTGCTTCTGTGGACAGGTGTCTTTTATACAGGTAACAAACTGAGATTAGGAGCACTGCCTTTAAGAGTGTGCTCCTAATCTCAGCTCGTTACCTGTATAAAAGATACCTGGGAGCCAGAAATCTTTCTGATTGAGAAGGGGTCAAATACTTATTTCCCTCATTAAAATGAAAATCAATTTATAACATTTTTTACATGCGTTCTTCTGGATTTTTTTGTTGTTATTCTGTGTCTCACTCTTCAAATAAACCTACCATTAAAATTATAGACTGATAATTTCTTTGTCAGTGGGCAAACGTACAAAATCAGCAGGGGATCAAATACTTTTTCCCCCCCTCACTGTGTGTGTGTGTATATATATATATATATACATACATACACACAAACACACACACTACCGTTCAAAAGTTTGGGGTCACTTAGAAATGTTCTTGTTTTCGAAAGAAAAGCAATTTTTTTGTCCATTAAAATAACATAAAATTGATCAGAAATCCAGTGTAGATATTTTTAATGTTGCAAATGGCTATTGTAGCTGGAAACGGCTGATTTTTAATGGAATATCTACATAAGAGTACAAAGAGCCATTATCAGCAACCATCAGTCATGTGTTCCAACGGCACGTTGTGTTTGCTAACCCAAATTTATCATTTTATAAGGCTAATTAATCATTAGAAAACCCTTTTGCAATTATGTTAGCACAGCTGAAAACTGTTGTGCTGATTAAAGAATAAATAAAACTGGCCTTCTTGAGACTAGTTGAGTATCTGGAGCATCAGCAATTGTGGGTTCGATTACAGGCTCAAAATGGCCAGAAACAAAGAACTTTCTTCTGAAACTCGTCAGTCTATTCTTGTTCTGAGAAATGAAGGCTATTCCATGCGAGAAATTGCCAAGAAACTGAAGATCTCGTACAACGCTGTGTACTACTCCCTTCACAGAACAGCCCAAACTGTCTCTAACCAGAATAGAAAGAGGAGTGGGAGGCCCCGGTGCACAACTGAGCAAGAGGACAAATACATTAGTGTCTCTAGTTTGAGAAACAGACGCCTCACAGGTCCTCAACTGCCAGCTTCATTAAATAGTACCCGCAAAACACCAGTCTCAACGTCAACAGTGAAGAGGCGACTCTGGGATGCTGACCTTCTAGGCAGAGTTGCAAAGAAAAAGCCATATCTCAGACTGGCCAATAAAAATAATAGATTAAACTGGGCAAAAGAACACAGACACTGGACAGAGGAAGATTGGAAAAAAGTGTTATGGACAGACGAATCGAAGTTTGAGGTGTTCGGATCACAAAGAAAAACATTTGTGAGACGCAGACCAAATGAAAAGATGCTGGAGGAGTGCTTGATGCCATCTGTCAAGCATGGTGGAGGCAATGTGATGGTCTGGGGGTGCTTTGGTGGTGGTAATGTGGGAGATTTGTACAGGGTAAAAGGGATCTTGAAGAAGAAAGGCTATCACTCCATTTTGCAACGCCATGCCATTCCCTATGGACAGCGCTTGATTGGAGCCAATTTACTCCTACAACAGGACAATGACCCAAAGCACAGCTCCAAACTATGCAATAACTATTAGGGAAGAAGCAGTCAGCTGGTATTCTGTCTATAATAGAGTGGCAGCACAGTCACCGGATCTCAACCCTATTGATCTGTTGTGGGAGCAGCTTGACCGTATGGTACGTAAGGAGTGCGTATTAAGCCAATCCAACTTGTGGGAGGTGCATCAGGAAACATGGGGTGAAATCTCTTCAGATTACCTCAACAAATTGACAACTACAGAGAATGACACAAGTATTGGTCTTCACAAAGTTCGCTGCTTCAGTGTTATGAGATCTTTTTGTCAGATGTTACAATGGTATACTGAAGTATAATTACAAGCATTCCATAAGTGTCAAATGTTTTTATTGACAATTACATTAAGTTTATGCAAAGAGTCAATATTTGACCTCTGCAATCTGCCCTGGCATGCTGTCAATTAACTTCTGGGCCACATCCTGAATGATGGCAGCACATTCTTGCATAATCAATGCTTGGAGTTTGTCAGAATTTGTGGGTTTTTGTTTGTCCACCCGCCTCTTGAGGATTGACCACAAGTTCTCAATGGGATTAAGGTCTGGGGAGTTTCCTGGCCATGGACCCAAAATGTCGATGTTTTGTTCCCCGAGCCACTTGGTTATCACTTTTGCCTTATGGCAAGGTGCTCCATCATGCTGGAAAAGGCATTGTTCGTCACCAAACTGTTCTTGGATGGTTGGGAGAAGTTGCTCTCTGAGGATGTGTTGGTACCATTCTTTATTCATGGCTGTGTTCTTAGGCAAAATTGTGAGTGAGCCCACTCCCATGGCTGAGAAGCAACCCCACACATGAATGGTCTCAGGATGCTTTACTGTTGGCATGACACAAGACTGATGGTAGCGCTCACCTTGTCTTCTCCGGACAAGGTGTTTTCCGGACGCCCCAAACAATCGGAAAGGGGATTCATCAGAGAAAATTACTTTTCCCCAGTCCTCAGCAGTTCAATCCCTGTACCTTTTGCAGAATATCAGTCTGTCCCTGATGTTTTTCCTGGAGAGAAGTGGCTTCTTTGCTGCCCTTCTTGACACCAGGCCATCCTCCAAAAGTCTTCGCCTCACTGTGCGTGCAGATGCACTCGCACCTGCCTGCTGCCATTCCTGAGCAAGCACTGGTGGTGCCCCGATCCCGCAGCTGAATCAACTTTAAGAGACGGTCCTTGCGCTTGCTGGACTTTCTTGGGCGCCCTGACACCTTCTTCACAACAATTGAACCTCTCTCGAAGTTCTTGATGATCCGATAAATGGTTGATTTAGGTGCAATCTTACTAGCAGCAATATCCTTGCCTGTGAAGCCCTTTTTCGTGCAAAGCAATGACGACGGCACGTATTTCTTTGCAGGTAACCATGGTTAACAGAAGAAGAACAATGATTTCAAGCACCACCCTCCTTTTAAAGCTTCCAGTCTGTTATTCTAACTCAATCAGCATGACAGAGTGATCTCCAGCCTTGTCCTCATCAACACTCTCACCTGTGTTAACGAGAGAATCACTGACATGATGGCAGCTGGTCCTTTTGTGGCAGGGCTGAAATGCAGTGGAAGTGTTTTTGGGGGATTAAGTTCATTTTCATGGCAAAGAGGGACTTTGTAATTAATTGTAATTCATCTGATCACTCTTCATGACATTCTGGAGTATATGCAAATTGCCATCATCAAAACTGAGGCAGCAGACTTTGTGAAAATTAGTATTTGCGTCATTCTCAAAACGTTTGACCACGACTGTAGAATGCCAAAGGTCTGCAAGGCTGTAACTGCTGCAAATGGAGGATTCTTTGATGAAAGCAAAGTTTGAAGGACACAATTATTACTACAATTAGAAATCATTACATTTCTAACCTTGTCAATGACTACATTTCCTATTCATTTTGCTATATTTCCTATTCAAACTCATTTCATGTATGTTTTCATGGAAAACAAGGACATTTCTAAGTGACCCCAAACTTTTGAACGGTAGTGTACGTACCCGAGAGGCCTAGCTACAGATTTCATTTAAAGCAGGTTAAATCTATTGCAAGACTTGTAAATTGCTGTCTAGCAACGATCAACAACCAACTTGACAGAACTTGCAGAATTTTTAGAAAGAATAATGTGCAAATATCCTTGGTGTGCAAAGCTCTTAAGGGACCCGGAAAGACTAACAGCTTAAAATCGATGCCAAAAGGTGACTAACATGTATTGACTCAGGGGTGTGAATACTTACTTAAAATGAAATGCAGAAATCTCATTTTCAATAAATTTGCAAACATTTGTAAAAACATGTTTTCACTTTGTCATTATGGGGTATTGTGTGTAGATGGGTGAGAGAAAATATATATTTCATCAATTTTGAATTCAGGCTGTAACAAAATGTGGAATAAACACTTTCTGAAGGCACTGGTGTACTACTTTTGACCAGGGCCTATAGAATAGTATGTATATATATATATATAATAATATACTATATAGGGAAAGGGTTGCCATTTGGGACACAGACAAGGCCAAGAGCAGACAACCTTCTCTTTAGAGTTTATTGATCGTCAACCATTCTGAGGCAAGAAGTTACAGAAAACACTTTAATACCTAAAACAGTATATGCTGGTCCCAAAATTAGTGCACTATATAGGGAATAGGGGTGCCATCTGGGACACATCAGTGCCAAAACCCCCTGGTTCGATTTTCAGGCTGTATCACAACCGGGCCGCGATTGGGAGTCCCATAGGGCGGCGCACAATTGGCCCAGCGTCGTCCGGGTTTGGCCGGTGTAGGCCGTCATTGTAAATAAGAATTTGTTCTTAACTGACTTGCCTAATTAAATAAAGGTTAAATAAAAAATAAACAAAGGAGGGGAAGAGAGAGGATGACAGGTATGATGATAAATAACAGATATCTAAAAGGACTCACATCTAAAGACCTTCGCAGTTTAGTAGGAAATGTTCAAGGTTTTCGTTTCGTCCCAAACAGTACCCTATTCCCTATTTAGTGCACCGTGTTTGTTCTGGAACGAATCCCAAATGTTACTTTAGAGAAAAGACAGTCCAGCACACTACCAATATAAAAGCTGATGAAGACAGATGCTTACAGGCTTTAATAGAACAAGGGATATTGGCAACTGCAGAGTGCTGGACTTTTCTCAAATGATCAGACAATAACAGGCGATAGCAGAATGGTGGTTGTCCAAGGTCTTGTACCTATCCACTGAACGAGAGGTAGGTGTAGGTGCGTGTACGCGTGTGTGCGTGCATGTGTAACGTGGAGGAAGACAGGAAGTGTTGAGCTGGCATTCATATAGCAGTTCTAGACCCATGCACTTTTGTGCCATGAAATATGTGCCAAAAGTCATTTTTTTTAATGCTTGGATCCTATGCTTCCTGACAATGAGAGGATATAACGGATTTAATGACTAATCTATTTGGCTTGGGAACTCACTCCTGAAGAACGAGAGAGGAATGTGGAACAGCAGATAGATCACATGATAGACCCCTACATGAAGAAGAAGAGGAGGAGAGGACCATAACATTGTAGCAATAACAAGGAAAGCCAAAGTGACAAAAGGGTGGGCCTAAAGTAATTCATAAGAGATCATACAAAATGTTTTCTCCAGACTCTTGTAGAATAATTAAAATATTTACGTTCGTCTGATGTGTATGAGGAGGTGCATCCAGATGCAGCACCGGAAGTATTTGTAAAATCATTCATGCCAATTGTTGACAAGCACCTGTTAAGAAATTAACTGTCAGAGCCCTTTAGATTGATGATGAATTGATCAATTGGTTCAAAGAGGTGGCCAACAAGTCAGGCTGCTCAGCTGATTGGTTGAGCAGCCTGAGAAATTGATAAAAACAAATAACAATAAAATCCTCAATCTACACAACACCCCATAATGACAAAGCGAAAACAGGTTTTTAGCATATTTTGCACAAAAAAAAAAAAAAAAAACAGAAATACCTTATTTACATAAGAATTCAGACCCTTTGCTATGAGACTCGAAATTGAGCTCAGGTGCATCCTGTTTCCATTGATCATCCTTGAGATGTTTCTACAACTTGATTGGAGTCCACCTGTGGTAAATTCAATTGATTGGACATGATTTGGAAAGGCACACACCTGTCTATATAAAGGTCCCACAGTTGACAGTGCATGTCAGAGCAAAAACCAAGCCATGAGGTTGAAGGAATTGTCCGTAGAGCTCCGAGACATGATTGTGTTGAAGCACATATCTGGGGAAGGGTACAAAAACATTTCTGCAGCATTGAAGGTCCCCAAGTACAAGTGGCCTCCATCATTCTTAAATGGAAGATGTTTGGAACCACCAAGACTCTTCCTAGAGATGGCTGCCCGGCCAAACTGAGCAATCGGGGGTGAAGGGCCTTGGTCAGGGAGGTAACTAAGAACCTGATGGTCACTCCGACAGAGCTCCAGAGTTCCTCTGTGGAGATCGGGGAACCTTCCAGAAGGACAACCATCTCTGCAGTACTCCACCAATCAGGCCTTTATGGTAGAGTGGCCAGACGGAAGCCACTCCTCTGTAAAAGGCACGACAGCCCGCTTGGAGTTTGCCAAAAGGCACCTGAAGGACTCTCAGACCATGAGAAACAAGATTCTCTGCTCTGATGAAACCAAGATTGAACTATTTGGCCTGAATGCCAAGTGTCACATCTGGAGGGAACCTGGCACCATCCCTACGGTGAAGCATGGTGGTGGCAGCATCATGCTGTGGGGATGTTTTTCAGCGGCACGGACTGGGAGACTAGTCAGGATCGAGGGAAAGATAACCGGAGCAGTACAGAGAGATCTTTGATGAAAACCTGCTCCAGAGCACTCAGGACCTCAGACTGGGACAAAGGTTCACCTTCCAACAGGACAGCGACCCTAAGCACATAGCCAAGACAACGCATGAGTGGCTTCGGAACAAGTCTCTGAATGTCCTTGAGTGGCCCAGTCAGAGCCCGGACTTGAACCCGATCGAACATCTCTGGAGACACCTGAAAATAGCTGTGCAGCGACGCTCCCCATCCAACCTGACAGAGCTTGAGGGGATCTGCAGAGAAGAATTGGAAAAACTCCCCAAATACAGGTGTGCCAAGCTTGTAGCGTCATACCCAAGAAGACTTGAGGCTGTAATCACTGCCAAAGGCGCTTCAACAAAGTACTGAGTAAAGGGCCTGAATACTTATGTAAATGTACATTCCGTTTGCTACCATTTCTAAAAACCTGTTTATGCTTTGTCATTATGGGGTATTGTGTGTAGATTGATGAGGGGAAAAAAACAATTTAACAATTTTAGAATAAGTCTAACTTAGAAAATGTAGAAAATGTGAAGGGGTCTGAATGCTTTCCGAATACACTGTATGTACAGTGCGGTGTCCCTCAGGGCAGTTGCCTTGGGCTGTTACTTTATTTGTACAAATGATTTGCCATTGCTCTTACACACAGCTAGAATGACCATGTAAGCGGATGATTCCACACTCTACATGTCCGCACCCAAAGCCAGTGAGCTCACTGAAATTCGAAATAAGGAGTTACAGTCTGCATCAGAATGGGGGATTAATAATAAACTGGTCTTAAATACATCTAAAACTAAAAGCATTGTATTTGGTTTAAAACATTCTCTAAGACCTAAACCTCAACTGGAGTTGTGCATAAATGGTGTGACCATTGAGCTAGTTGAGGGAGATAAACTCCTAGGTATAGCATTGGATGGCCAGTTAACATGGTCAATTCAATTCATATTGGCAAAGTTGTTGTGAAGATGGGGAGGGTTATGTCTGTTATAAAAAGATGTTCTGCATTTTTTTACACAATAATCAACTGTACTAGTTATTCAGGTTCTGGTCTTGTCCCGTCTTGATTACTGTCCGGTAATGTGGCCAGGTGCAGCAAAGAAAGACCTAGCAAAGCTGCAGCTGGCTCAAAACAGAGCAGCACGCCTTGGCTTTAACTGCACATACAGAACTAACAACATGATGCATGCCAGTCTGCATAATCAAATAACATTCAGCTCAGACACCCATACATACCCCACAAGACATGCCACCAGGGGTCTCTTCACAGTCCCCAAGTCCAAAACAAATTCCCCGCAATGCACATTATTATACAGAGCCATGATCACACGGAAATCACTTCCATCTCCAATTACTCAGCAAACAGCAAAATGAGCTTTAGAAAAACAGATTAAACAACATCTCATGGAATGGTGGGGATTGAGGGGACACATAGAAACATACACACACACACACACACACACATACAGACACATTTGTTTTTGTTGTTGTATTGTTTGTATTATTATTATTTTTAAATCAGTATTTATTTAGATTGAGGACACACAAACACATATTTTATTTGTTTTGTTAGTTTTTATATTTTACATTTGTGTGACTGTCCTTGTCTATCAGTGTTTTGGTACTTGTCATGTTTTGTGTTTCTTGTGGACCCCAGGAAGAATAGCTGCTGCCTCTGCAAAAGCTAATGGGGATCCTAATAAATAAACACCTCCCTTGGTTCAAATAGAGTTTGGAATGCCAGATGGGCAGGGTTTGAACATTTAGGGCTATTCTATTGGTTCCCATTGGACAACTCAATAAAGCACACATGACATATTTGAAAGGATTTCAAATAGTACATGAACCAAGGTCTGTGTGTGACCTTGTTTTTGTTGATTACTTCACTTACAGAGACCTCACAAGCTGAAGTACACAACGGTTACCCTGGCTGTCCCTCTGTCCTATTGAATGGTCCCGCCCTGTCCCATTGATGGCTTCCCTTTCCCCTGTCCCATTGAATGGGCCCTTCCCATTCCTATTAATGGTCCCCGCCCTGTCCTATGTGATGGTCCCTCGCCCCTGTCCTATTGAAGGTCTCTTATCCCTGTCATATTGAATGTCCATGTACCCATGTCCTTTGAATTGGTCCCCTGTCCCCCTGTCCTATTGAATGTCCCCGTCCCCTTTGCTATTTTGTCCGCCCATGCATTGTGGTCCCCTTCCCCATTGTCCTATTGAATGGGCCCCTGTCCCCTGTCTATTGAATGGTCCCCCTTCCCCTGTCCTATTGAATGGTCCCCGTCCCCTGTCCATTAAATGGTCCTTTATCCCCTGTCCTATTGAATGGTCCCCTGTCCCCCTGTCCTATTGAATGGTCCCCTGTCCCCCTGTCCATTGAATGGTCCCCTGTCCCCCTGTCCTATTGAATGGTCTCTTATCCCCCTGTCCTATTGAATGGTCCCCTGTCCCCTTGTCTATTGATGGTCCCCGTCCCTGTCCATTGAATGGTCCCCGTCCCCTGTCCATTAAATGGTCCGTTCCCATGTCCTTTTGGGAATGGTCCCCCCGTTTTGAATGGTTTCCCCTCCCCTGTCCTATTGAATGGTCCCCCGTCCCCCTGTCCTATTGAATGGTCCCCTGTCCCCCTGTCCTATTGAATGGTCCCCCGTCCCCCTGTCCTATTGAATGGTCCCCTGTCCCCATGTCCTTTTTGAAGGGTTTCCCCTGTCCCAGTCCTTGAAGGGTTTCCCCGTCCCCTGTCCTATTGAAGGGTTTCCCCAGTCCCCCGTCCTATTGAAGGGGCCCCCCTTTCCCTTCCTATAATGGTCCGCCGTTGGTCCCCCTGTCCTATTGAAGGCACCTTTTTGTGCCCCCGTCCCCTGTCCTATTGAATGTCCCCGTCCCCTGTACTATTGAATGGTGTCATGTCCCCATTGTCCTATTGAATGGGTTCCCCCAGTCCCCATGTCCTATTGAATGGTCCCCGTCCCCTTCCTTAATGTCCCATGTTCCTATTGAAATGGTCCCCCTCAACTGTCCTATTGAATGGTCCCCTGTCCCCCTGTCCTATTGAATGGTCCCCCATCCCCCTGTCCTATTGAACGGCCTCCAGGGGACACAATGACGCCTCAGCCTCTTACCTTGAGAGCATTTCAAATCTCAACACACAATGGTTCCATTATGGTTCCGTATTGAATGGCTTCCAGTCAACAGATCCCTCCATCCCCTTTATAATGCACTACTTTTGACCAGGCCCCAATGATGCCCTAAATACAGAGTAGTGTGTCATTTGGGACAGATGCCTCAGCCTCTTAGCTTGTCCTACAGAGCACTTCTAATCTGAAATGGTTCCCTTGCCCAGCGGACGGACGCCTCAGCCTCTTACCTTGCCCAGCTGTTGATGAACGCTCAGGTTGTACATCATCACAATCCCATCCAGAATCTCCAGCAGAGACTTCTCTGTGATTGGATGGTCGGGTTCTTCCAACGGTCGCCCCAGCAACAGGCCATCGTTACCATGGCTTCCCTCGACTGGAGGTGAGGCGGGGAAGAAAGGAAAAAGAAGAACATGTTCCCAACCCTGTGTTCAGTCCAGTCCAGTCCAAATGACCAAACGCCCAGGTAATAATAGCTCAAAAGGTACTAGGCCACTTCCAGAGGTGGCCAATTGAATTTCACACTCATCCGCAGATTATTGGCATCCAAATGCCTTTTCTTTACTTTAGCCTTTACATCTGTAGACTAAACTCTATATTTCACAGTGGTGGTTGAAAGAGAACGCTAGAGTGAGAGAGCGAGAAATTGAGAAAGTGCGAGAGAAAAGGAAAGAGAGAACTGCACTCAATACGCCTCCATGTATATTCAAGGTAAAGACACTCACTGTCCTCCTCCGTCCTCTGCTCCACGGCCAGGGTGCGAACTTTGACCTTCTCCGGGGGTGCCAGGGGTCGCCTGGGAGTCATGAGGCTGACAGCAGCGGTACTCAGGAAGCGATTGGCTCGGCCCAGAGTGGGAGAACTGAGCCAGCTGGGTCTGGCCAGGGCAGCACCCATAGCCACCGCTCCGAAAGGCCTCTGTTACAGGACAGAGACATGATGCATTACAATACATAGAGACATGTTGGTAACACTGTATAATTACAGTAGGTCACCCACCACCTCTCCAAAAGGCCTCTGTAACAACAAAGGAAGAGACACTGTTAAAACACGTGGTAAATACAGTCATACTGTTAATCAAATAGCTACCCGGACTATTTGCATTGACCCCCCCTTTTTTTTGTGTGTTGCACTGACTCCTTTGCACTGGCTCTATGCACACTCACTGGACTCCACCCACACACACACACACACACTCACTGGACTCCACCCACACACACACACACTCACTGGACTCCACCCACACACACGCACACTCACTGGACTCCACCCACACACACACACACACTCACTGGACTCCACCCCCACAACACACACATCACTGGACTCCACCCCACACCACCACTGGACTCCACCCACACACACACTCACTGGACTCCACCCACACACACACTCACTGGACTCCACCCACACACACACACTCACTGGACTCCACCCGCACACACACACTCACTGGACCACACCACCCCACCACACCCACACACACACACCAAACCCCACCCATTGACTCCACCCACACCACACCACCACCACTCCACTGGACTCCAACCAACAAACCACCACTTGACTCCACCCACCACACACACAAACACTCACTGGACTCCACCCACACCCCAACACTTTACTGGGACTCCACCCACACAACCATCACACACACCCCCACAACCACACTCACTGGACTCCACCACCCCACACACACACACACTCATGGACTCCACCCACACACACACTACTGGACTCCACCCACACACACACACTCACTGGACTCACAACCCACCCACACACAAACACACTCACTGGGGCTCCACCCACCACACAACACACCATCATGGACTCCACCACCAACCACCCCCACTGGGCTCCACCACACAACACCACTCACTGGACTCCCCCCCCCACACACAAAAACATCACTGGACTCCCCACCCACAAAACACACTCACTGGATCCACCCACACCACACAAATCACATCCACACACACTTCACTGGACCTCACCACACAAAACAACACTCACTGGACTCCAACCCAAACAACACTCATGGACTCCACCCACCCAACACAACACACTCCCCTGGACTCCACCCCACCCACACACACACACCAAACACACTACTGACTCCACCCACACACACATTTACTGACTCCAACCACACACAACTACTGGACCACCCCCAAAACTCACACTCCCTGGACCCCAACACACACACTCCTGGACTCCACCCCACACAAAACCCAACAAATCATACCCACACACCACACTCATGGACTCCACCCCCACAACCCACCCACCACACACACTTCATGGACCCACCACACACACCCACAACACACAACACAAACGGACTCACCAACCAATATTTGGAACTCCACCACCACAACAACAACAAATTTGACCCACCCCACACACCACCACTTTCGGGATCCACCCCCACCACTGTTTGGGCTCCACCCACAAAAACACTCATGGACTCCACCCACACACAGCTTGCTATCTGATTATTATCTATCCTGATGGCTAGTCACTTTTACAGTACCTAAACTAACATTGGCCAAGTATTGGGACACGGGACTCGTGAAACCCATTCTAAAATTGGGCGTTAAATATGGAAGGGTCCCATTTGTGCCTATAACACCCCCACTCTCTGGGAATGCACCATAGATGTTGGAAATTGCTGCAGGGTTTCTCCATTAGCACGGACCCCTGAACGTCTGATGCATGTATGTTGCCCCCCCCCCCCCCCCCCCCCCCCCCCCCCCCCCCCCCTTGCTTGCGGGGGACTTGCTTCCATTCAGCCACAGGAGCATTAGAATCGTCTAGAATGTCATTGTATGCTGTAGCCTGAACCATGAAAAACAGCCCCAGACCATTATTCCTCCTCCACCAAACTTTACAGTTGTCACTGTCTATTGGGGCAGGTAGCGTACTCCTGGCATCCGCCAAACCCAGATTCGTCCGTCGGACTGCCAGATGGTGAAGTGTGATTCATCACTCCAGAGAACGCGTTTCCATTGCTCCAGAGTCCACTCCAGCCGATGCTGGCATTGCGCATGGTGATCTTAGGCTTGTGTGTGGCTGCTCGGCCATGGAAACCCATTTCATGACGCTCCCCACGAACAGTTCTTGTGCTGATGTTGCTTCCAGAGGCCGTTTGGAACTCGGTAGTGAGTGTTGCAACCGAGGACAGATGATTTTTACGCACTACGTGCTTCAGCACTCGGCAGTCCTGTTCTGTGAGCTTGTGTGGCCTATTACTTCGTGGCTGAGCCGTTGTTGCTCCTAGACGTTTCCACTTCACAATAACTGCACTTACAGTTGACCAGGGCAGGTCTAGCAGAGCAGAGATTTGTCAAACTGACTTGTTGGAAAGGTGGCATCCTATGACGGTGCCACGTTGAAAGTCACTGAACACTTCAGTACGGGCCATTCTACTGCCATTGTTTGTCTATGGAGAATGCATGGCGGTGTACTCGATTTTATACACCCGTCAGCAAGGGTGTGGCTGAAATAGACTAATCCACTAATTTGAAGGGGTGTCCACATACTTTTGGCCATGTAGTGCATTACCTCAACTACCTGGTACCCCTGCACATTGACTCAGTACTGGTACTTCTTGTGTATAGCCTCATTACTACCTGGTACCCCTGCACATTGACTCAGTACTGGTACTCCTATATAGCCTCATTGTTATTTTATTGTGTTACTATTTCCTTATTTGCTCATTATTATATTGTTTCTTACTTTTTAACTCTGCATTGTTGGGCTCGTAAGTAAAGCATTTCACGGTAAAGTCTACACCTGTTATATTCTGCGCATGTGACTAATAAAATGTGATTTGTAACGCTGTACCCAAAGGGAGAATTTAGACTTGAGAACCCCAATATGGTGGAATCAAGCACACTGTCTTTGTGGATGATTTTTAAGATAAGACGTTAGCTAGTCTGTACCTGAGCGGCTCCACTCTCCTCCTCCTCATCCAAATCATCCATAGAGGTAGCCTGGATCTCAGCTGGGTCCATGAGGATGTTGGCTTTGGAGGCCAGGTCATCTAGAAGGACAGACACAGCACAACTATTACATCATAATACAACTTCATTACAACACAGAGTAATCACCACCAATACAGGCCGTCTCCCGTCACCAATACAAGCCGTCTCCCGTCACCAATACAGGCCGTCTCCCATCACCATACAGGCTGTATCCTGTCACCAATATCATTGGTTTCAAACCATTACAATGCCTTATCCGTGTTCTGACCACCAGGAGGCTACCCTGCCTGAGCTCTGGTAGAGTTTAAGCTGCAAGGAGGCCAGCAGAAGTCCTGGATCATGTTCATTAGACACCAAACTAAGAGGAAAATGGACTGAAACAGGAAGGGACAACATGAGTGTCTATGAGGGGGCGGAGTGACCAAACTTAACGAGGTAGCAATCTGAAAAATACTGGAAGATCCGACGTGGACAGAGAAATAGTCATTGTGACAGTCTAGTGATGTTGATAGGTTGATTGCTATGGTGATATAGAGGCTTCATTACAGCGTCGGAGCTGACCTCTAAGTGTCTGGATACTGTTGTTTACATTTCTGATCACCCAGAACCACCGTAAATCCCCATGCACACTATTCCCTACACAGTGCACTACTTTGCCATTTGGTACTCAACCCAGGTCCAAAACAATCCACCACCAGCCAAGTGCCTCTTCTTCTCCACTAGCAGTTGATTCAAAGTCGACACTGAACTAAAAATATAAAAACGATACACGCAACAATTTCAAAGACTTTACGGAGTTACAGTTCATATACTGTAAGGCCCTAATCTATGGAGTTCACATGACTGGGAATACAGTTATGCATCCGTTGGTCACAGATACCTTTAAAAAAGAAAACCAGTCGATATCTGGAGTGACCACCATTTGCCTCATGCAGCGTGACACATCTCCTTCACATAGGAGGGGAACAGGCTGTAGACTGTGGCCTGTGGAATGTTGTCCCGCTCATCTTCAGCGGCTGTGCGAAGTTACTGGATACTGGAGGGAACTGGAACGAGCTGTCGCACACGTCGATCCAGAGCATCCCAAACATGCTCAATGGGTGACATTGTCTGGTGAGTATGCAGGCCATGGAAGAACTGGGACATGTTCAACTTCCAGTAATTGTTTACAGATCCTTGCGACATGGGGCCGTGTATTATCATGCTGAAACATGAGGTGATGGCAGCAGATGAATGGCACGACAATTGGCCTCAGGACCTCGTCACGGTATCTCTGTGCATTCAAATTGCCATCGATAAAATGCAATTGTGTTCGTTGTCCGTAGCTTATGCCTGCCCATACCATTACCCCACCACTACAGGGCACTCTGTTCACAACGCTGACATCAGCAAACCGCTCGCCCACACAACGCCATACACGTGGTCTACGGTAGCGAGGCCGTTTGGACGTACTGCCAAATTCTCTAAAACGACGTTGGAGGCGGCTTATGGTAGAGAAATGAACATTCAATTATCTGGCAACAGCTCTGGTAGACATTTCTGCAGTTAGCATGCCAATTGGACGCTTTTGCAAAACTTGAGACATATGTGGCATTGTGTTGTGTGACAAAACTGCACATTTGAGAGCGGCCATTTAATTGTACTCAGCACAAGGTGCACCTGTGTAATGTTCATGCTGTTTAATCAGCTTCTTTATATGCCACACCTGTCAGGTGGATGGATTATCTTGCAAAGGAGAAATGCTCACTAACAGGGAAGTAAACAAATTTGTGCACAAAATGTGAAAGAAATAAGCTTTTTTGTTGCGTATGGAACATTTCAGGGATCTTTTATTTTAACTCATGAAATATGGGAACAACACTTTACATGTTGTGTTTATATTTTTGTTCAGTATAGATAGTCAAACTAGATTAAAGAAAGGAGATATATAGAGGGGAAATACTCCTGGTCACCTCAACATGACCTTATAGTATTCACTATTACCATCTCTGGGTCACCTCAACATATATATTACGCTGAACAGAAATATCAACGCAACATGTAAAGTGTTGGTCCCATGTTTCATGAGCTTTAATAAAACAATCCCTGACATTTTCCATACGCACAAAAAGCTTATTTCTCTCAAATTTTGTGCACACATTTTTTTTACATTCCTATTAGTGATTATTGCATGTTGCTTTTATATTTTTGTTCAGTATATACACTACCAGTCAAACGTTTGGACACACCTACTCATTCAAGGGATTTTCTTTATGTTTAACATTGTAGAATAGTAGTGAAGACATCAAAACTATGAAATTACACATTTGGAATCATGTAGTAACCAAAAAAGTGTTAAACAAATCTAAATATATTTTATATTTGAGATTCTTCAAAAGGCACCCTTTGCCTTGTTGACAGCTTTGCACACTATTGGCAGATGATAGCCCTATTTGGTAAAAGACCAAATCCATATTATGACAAGAACAGCTCAAATAAGCAAAGAGAAACGACAGTCCATCATTACTTTAAGACATGAAGGTCAGTCAATACGAAAAATGTCAAGAACTTTCAAAGTTTCTTAAAGTGCAGTCGCAAAAATCATCAAGCGCTATGAGGAAACTGGCTCTCATGAGGACCGCCACAGCAATGGAAGACCCAGAGTTACCTCTGCTGCAGAGGATAAGTTCATTAGAGTTACCAGCCTCAGAAATTGCAGCCCAAATAAATGCTTCACAGAGTTCAAGTAACAGACACACCTCAACATCAACTGTTCAGAGGGAACTGTGTGAGTCAGCCCTTCATGGTCGAATTGCTGCAAAGAAACCACCACTAAAGGACACCAATAAGAAGGAGAGACCTGCTTGGGCCAAGATACACGAGCAATGGACATTAGACCGGTGGAAATCTGTCATTTTGTCTGAAGTCCACATTTTAGATTTTTGGTTCCAACCGCCGTGGCTTTGTGAGACGCGTGTGGGTGAATGGATGATCTCCGCATGTGTGGTTCCCACCGTAAAGCATGGAGGAAGAGGTGTTATGGTGTGGGGGAGCTTTTCTGGTGACACAGTCTGTGATTTATTTAGAAATCAAGGCACACTTAACCAGCATGGCTACCACAGCATTCTGCAGCGATACGCCATCCCATCTGGTTTGCGCTTAGTGGGACTATCATTTGTTTTTCAACAGGACAATGACGCAACACACCTACAGGCTGTTTAAGGGCTATTTTACCAAGAAGGATAGTGATGGAGTGCTGCATCAGATGACCTGGCCTCCACAATCACCTGACCTCTAACCAATTGAGAAGGTTTGGGATGAGTTGGATCGCAGAGTGAAGGAAAAGCAGCCAACAAGTGCTCAGCATATGTGGGAACTCCTTCAAGACTGTTGGAAAAGCATTCCAGGTGAAGCTGGTTGAGAGAATGCCAAGAGTGTGCAAAGCTGTCATCAAGGGTGGCTATTTTGTAGAACCTCGAATATAAAATATATTTTGATTTGTTTAACACTTTTTTGGTTACTACATGGTTCCATATGTGTTATTTCATAGTTTTGATGTCTTCACTATTATTCTACACTGTAGAAAACAGTTGTTGTTTTTTTAATAAAGAAAAACCCTTGAATGATTAGGTGTGTCCAAACTTTTGACTGGTAGTGTATATGAATCACAATAGGTTTTGTATTCACTACAGCCCTGTCCCGAACTCAGCGTCCAATTATCTCTCCCTTCCCAATGTATCCCAATTGAATGCCCGCTTAGCCTGGATGGGAGGCTGCTGTGAAAACATTAGGATGACGCTGGAAGCAGCAGGGCAGGGTGACGTAACATGCTTTGAAGCCTGCTGCTGTAACACACAGGGGAAAAAAACACTAGGGTTGTATACCAAAACGGAACCCTATCCCCTATATAGCCTAGTGCACTAATACAAAAATACAATGTACACTATGTAGGGCGTGATTTGAGACGTAACCCAGACCTCATCCTACACCATTACACCTGAAGCCAGATGGGTAGTGTACAGGTTCCGGCAGACAGTTCAAAACGTCTAGTTATTTCTCCAGCTTCATCAAAAGACAATATACTACACCGTCTGATTCGACGACGGGAGCTACAGTATAAATGTTTCAGTTTCCTTTTCTCTATTCTGATCCCGATAGAGATCGAAAACAGTCTATGCTAGATGAATGTTACCCGCTTTCTTCACCAAACTACGATAACGACCCGAAACCACACCATCCAAATGCATTCCAACGATGGTGATTTGGTAGTTGTTTCATACCTTTATTTGACAACACAGAAGGTAACACTTTACTCGATCTCACAGGAAGTGTTCTGCATTGTACCAGATATACTATAACTAGACCGCTAATGTTAAATCTCCACTCCCTGATCATGTTCGATTGGATTGTAGCCGAGAGCAGGGCTCTCAAATCCTGTTCCTGGAGCGCCAACGTCATGTAAACTTCACTCCAACCCTAGTCTAGCGCACCACATTTGAATAATTAGCTGGTTGATAAGCTGAATCGGGCTAGTTTCAGCTCTCCGTGAGCAGGAAGAGGCCTGGCATAAAGACAGGGTGGTGGTGTAAATACTGACAGGAGTAGGCTGTGACTAAGCAAAGGAGAGTGATGAAAGAGAAGTAGCAGTGTTTCTGAAGTATGAAGTCTTAGTTACAGACCCAGTTAAGAGCGATGTTTCGTGTCTATAACACATGCCACAGTAGGAGTTCACCCACACACACCCCTACAGACCCCACACCCACCCCTACAGACCCCACCCCTACAGACCCCACACCCACCCCTACAGACCCCACCCCTACAGACCCCACCCCACACCCACCCCTACAGACCCCACCCCTACAGACCCCACACCCACCCCTACAGACCCCACCCCTACAGACCCCACACCCACCCCTACAGACCCCACACCCACCCCTACAGACCCCACCCCTACAGACCCCACACCCACCCCTACAGACCCCACCACACCCCCTCCTACAGACCCCACCCCTACAGACCCCACACCCACCCCTACAGACCCCAACCCTACAGACCCCACCCCACACCCACCCCTACAGAC